ACATTGGATTTTTTTCCCTTTGGTTCTAATAATTAAGACAATTATTTGTATAGATTCTCTCTTTTTGTCGATTCTTTTACGAGGAAATGGTTAGAAATTAACTACTAAGTAACTGCATTAGGGGACTAAGGTTCGTTACTTTGTAATTGGAGGGTCATTGTCTAGTGAATGATTGACAGAAAAGCCTTTTACTTTTTTATCAGGATGAAGAGTTGATATAAAGATATTTTGTGTCCTCATGACTTCATTCATAATATATAACAAAAGTCTTGATTCGTGGAAGTTCTAGGTGTGTTTTGCCTGGGTTTGCTGTCTTTTCTCTTGGTATCTAAAAGAGCTTTAGCTGTTAAATATTTGAGCAGCAGTAAATGGGATCGATCTCACAAAGGATACTCTTGTGTGGAACGTTATATATCTTTTGCTCATCTTTTCACCAAGGAAAGAACTGATGATTGTCAGGATATTTTCGTTACAGTCAAAGTAAGTTTTGTAGATTTTTTTTTTTAAATACAAATGTAATGTAACTTACATGCAGTGACGGAAACACTACAGACAGCATGGTTTCACGTCGAATTATTATTATTTATACAAAAAATACATAGTTTATCTACCGATCTCATTACTTTATACGGTTGCTGAATCAATTCAAATTGGCTTTATAATTAATCAAATAAACAGGGAAGTCCTATCTTTATTTTCTAGGTAAATAACTGTTCGAAATTCATAAAAAGAATTAATAATTAAAGAAGGGGGAAAAAAGAGTGAAAAACGGATGAATCTAATACTAAATCGAATATTATACTTATCTGTAATTCGTGAATGTATATATGAGATCTATTTAAACGTATGCCATCAAGAAGATATTACCCGGTATAGTTCGATGCCATTATAACTGTGGTTAGAGTAAGAGTGTATCAGAGATTTAAGCAATCAGAAATTTTATATTTTAAAGTATTATTACAGTCTAAATTTCTTTTCTTCTATTAGAATGTTAAAAACCAATTCGAAAAGAACAATGAAACTTTTACTGAAAGTGCTATTTAAGAAATTATTACATTTTTTTTGTATGCATGAGGTTTATATTGTAGTTGGCTGACCGTACTGCCTACAGTATGTTATACGCAAGTTCGTACACATCGTTTAAAAAAAAAAGGAATCTTGAAGAAAAAAAAGATAGATGGAAAGTTATTCATGTTTTTGGGGAAAAAATCTCAATACTTTCCAGCAAATATTTTTGTATCAAATTATTTTGTTGGCATATTGTTTCAATTCTTATAATATCGTGTCTATAAAATCAAATTTGAAAACTTTTATCAAATTAAAGAATAAAAAAAGAAAGTGCATTTCTGTACAATTGCACGCTGAACTCTAACAAAGATAAATCATTCGGGGAGCAGATCTTTATTTCCAGGTTTCAACCCTTCTTCATTGGCACTGGACGCTGACTAATCTTAATTAAATCCGCAAATAAGCTTAGGCATTCTAGAGTATGTTCACTTGTGAACCCATGCATTAAATTTACTGACAGCTTTGCAGAAAAATCAATTAGTATATATTTTTAATCCGGTGAGGCAGTTCTTATAATTAGCTGATGTAATTGACGACCAGTAGTGTAAATTTCGTAGTTATCCTACCATACTAAAATAGAACAACCAATAAAAATTCTTAATTTTCGTGTACCTTTGGATAGTAATTAATGCGGATACAACTAGAAAATTATAGAGATGTAAAAGCAGTGCGAGAAGTTTTGAATTCTCACGGTTTCAGGAAAGCAAGATAAATGCCACTCAAAAGCAGAAAAATCATCCGTTCACATCATAAAAATATGGGCCCTTATGGACCTTCCATGTTGAGCATGACATTGTTAAAATATATCTAGGAAGATGCATTGTATTTTACGATTTGACAGTCCCTATAATTATATATTATCTGTTTCCATTAAAAAGATTTTAAAATCATATTACAAAAAGTATCGTTACTTAAACCGGAAACGCCAATGCCTTAGCGTATGATTATTTCCAAAGTTTAATTTGATTTGGAGGTGTTTGCGATTTGTGGGCTTATGTTGTATTGTTTAATATTTTTGAGTGTAATAATTTCTCTCATGGGACCTGTATAACAATCATAAAAAAAGCTATAAAAAGTAGATTACGTAATACATATGAAACGTATACAAAGGCTGTTTCTGCTTGTAAGCTGATCAGGACACGCATACATTGTAATGGCGAATTACTTAATTGAGAAGGGATTCTTAGGGGATGCAACATTTTGTTTGACTATATATGGATATTGTTCGGGTGATTCATCCTTCTTTTTTGACAACCCGCACTGTTCTCGGCCAGACTCCTCCGTACCAAGGATGCAGTAGTTAATATTGATTGTAACCTTCACGCTAATATAATACATAAAGACCTCGTATAACAACTCCATACTGTCAATGGTAATAGACTCGGTCGCCAAATCAAAGGAAAAAATGAATCACAGATTATACAGATGAAAGTATTAGTGCTTTTGGATAGATAAACATAAGGTCATAATGCATACTGTTGGAATACTAAAAGGATAATGTAATTTTACATGGTAAGTCTCTCTCTCTCTCTCTCTCTCTCTCTCTCTCTCTCTCTCTCTCTCTCTCTCATTAATCATTTTTGAATGTATGCCATATAACAGGAGGAAATATATAAATTTAAAAAAAAGTAACCTAGAATCATCGGTTCACTTAAAAGTAAGCGTTTTGGTAATTTTTAAATTCTAAATAAAATCTTTATTAAATTTACAAATCTTTCTGCAGAAACTGATCTTTTGTATCTTTTTCCCAAATTATCAATGTAGCATTGGTTATGCACTTAATTTAACGACAATCTACTCATTTTGTCAGTATTATTTTGATTCTGTTTTCGTTTCGAATTTATGATTAAATCTACATCAAATGTCTTCCAATATGTACCTGATACATTTTTAGTGTATTTCATCACGGACGATAATCCAACAAATCAACCTATTACTTCAAAGAAAATGCCACTTAAGTCATAAATCTTTTCGAACTCATAATAATCACGTGACATTGATACAGACATCACTGTCACGCGTATCCCTCGTTTATTTCCCACGTTTATTTTCAACATACGCAATTCTTCTAGGAAAAGCGCAAGGTTTTCGGATGAATAATTTGACATGTAATGAATCTGGACTTTGAGTTAAAGATTTCGGTACAAATCACGCGTTAATATACAACACATATAGTTGATCAATATACTTTCACCAGTTTTGACATAAGGATGCTAGACTCTAACAAAGTTAATTCAAGGCTGAAAACGTGTTTTTTACAGTGTATTTTTAAAACAAGTAATCGAATGTTTCAATTTATGAAATTCTTACAAAATATTTCCCGGTCATAACTAAGATTTGGGTGATAGATCGATTTGGAGACAATACTAGTCTTCTCGTCTAGGTAGTGACCGTTCCTTCGCCAAAAGCCCTAGAAAGTCATGGTCTTTCGATGAGGCCTTATAAACCGAGATCCCGTGTCACGGTAGGCATTGGCAGGATAAAAACTCACTGCTTATTGGCCCTGACTGCCGAGAAAATTTATTTAAAGGCCTTCACCGGTATATGATGACGTTTATATGCGTGAAAATTCTCGGAAGGGGCTTAAAACAAACAAACAATCAATCTATTAAGTTTCTGATTAGTCAGTATATTACGTCGTTTTCATTTTGACCCCCAAGAAATGTCGATATAACTTACAGTGTGCAAAATTACGCAAAACGCGATGTAAATTAGAGACCAATATGTACTATTTTATATTGAATGTGAATGGAGAGCATGTTTCATGAAATATGAAGATAACGAACATTATTCAAGCTCAAAGTCCATTTAAACAATACAAATCGGGAGCAGAGCAAACACATACCTCCAAAAACATCCATATATATTTACATTTCCAATGTCTTTGTCCGAGATAAAATTACAAATTGTAAAAATACTTTATTTCTACATAAATCTACTGGTTCATCGATAGGCGCGGTTAAAAAAAATCACGTGCGGGGCGGGACAAATAGAGACAGAAGCGGGGCTATTAGCACGGGAATTTGCAGAATCAGGAGCATGTAAATATAAGGAATAACTGTCAGATTTTTTGGATTCATGACGATGATCAATCGATTGGCTTGCGTGATAATTTTATGCATAAACGCCTTCGGCGTTTATGCAAATTATCACGCAAGCCACTCGATTGATCACATCATGAATCCAAAAAATTAGACAGTTATTCCTTAAATGAAACAGATGTGTCAGACTCTGTGTAATCTTTTATTTCAAGCTCACTGGGATATATCGTGTTCAAGTGAATGGACGTAACTGTTGTTAATTGATAATACGTCGTCAATATATCTAAATGTCGAGTAGAAAGCTACAGTAAGTGTTTACTTCTCATGCCGAAGTTTTTGAATAAATTCTGCTTCATATGAATACAAAAAATAGGTCTGCTAATAAGGGGCGCAATTGGCACCCATGGGAATTCCAACAGATTGTTGAAAGACCTGATCTCCAAAAACTACATAGATATTGTCAATCCGAAATTCTTTTTAATATCAACTTCAGAGTGCGTGTGTGTACAACCAAAATGTTTTTTAAAAAATAATTTTGCAAATGACCGATGACAAGGTAATTATATTTATGAGTTCCATTTTTATTGAAAAAGCAGCTGTCTCTGGTGTCAAAAACCTAGACTTTAATTTATCGTGAGGAATGGTTGTATAACGTGTTGAAAAGTTATACGTTTTGATGTTATTGATTTTGTTAAAATTTTGTGATTTCAAATTTTCTAAAAGTTCCTTGGAGTTTTTAAGTATCCACGTCTGATTTACACCATATACTGTTGTACAGTACTCCTGAAGTTTCTCCTTCACTGTTGTAAATATTTTAGTGAGGAGTAAAGAAAGAGACTTGGTAGAACATTTACTGGAACCTGCGATGTATCTTTGTTTGTAAGGATTTATATGGAGTTTTGGAATCCTGTATAGGTATGGTAAATCAAATTCATTTTGATTGTTGGGAATATTAAATATATTTAAAACTGACATATGGTTTTGAAGAATTCATTCATGAGAAAGAGTAAAACGTTATTTTTTGTTAATTCATGTTCAAATGAAGCAGGTAGAAATATATTTTTTGACTCATTATTCGTGTCCCTGCATTATGTGATTCAGTAATCAATTTCAGCAAGAACTAGTTCTCTCACAGAATATTACATCATATTGAAAAAAAAAATGCTTTGCTTGAATTTTCTCTGTTTCTGTTTATTTATAGCCGACTTTATATACAATTTAAACCTAAGATTATCTCCAATTAAAAATAAACACACATATCGATTTTCAGTTACAGAAAAGTCTCGTTCCTTAAATTCTTCTGAATTTTATATTTTGTCTATCAACATAACACAAAACGAACTTTTACATCTAATATTCTTTTATATTAGCCGAATAACAGCCTCTAATCATGGTGATTATGAAAATATCTGATTAAATTAAAACAGTCGTCTTATCAATGCTCAAGTATTGCTTGTTGAAGAATCTCTAAACGAAGTTAAAATTTGACTTAATATGGCCGACAGAACTTTCAGAAACGTACATTCATACCTTAACGTACGGAGCTGGTATTTGTACCTTTAAAGATAAAGGTATATAATAAAGACCCAATAAGACCCATCTGCTTGATTTGATTTCTGCAGGTCAATTAATCTGGAATTACATAGAACCAAGTTGAGATTCTAAAGTTGTTTCAAAAAGACATTGTTCCCTGCTAAATACCAATGTGATACTCAAATAACAAGAGAAGTTAGCGAGTGTCTGTGAGGAAAAAAACGAATGTTAGAATTTTTTATTTGCAGCAACCTATTGAAATTTTAATAATGTACAAGAAATTATCGACGAAAGAAATACATATAAATAGCAATTAAATCATTTTATGCGATTATTTCAAATAACTTCATATACACTAAGTCTTTAGAAATTCGCAAATTTCATGCATATCTAATGTCGGAAATCAATCTGCGACATAAAGAATGCGTTTAGAGCAGCTTTGGATCTTTTTCTGTAATTAGCAAATTAAGTGATATGGAGTCGTCAAATGCCTAGCAACAAATAAAGTTCTTTCAGAATTATCAGAGTAAATCGATGGAAAAGTCACCATATGAAGACCTCTTAAAAGAATGCCTTCGATTTTTTTTACTAACGTATGACTCAATGCTAATAAAATGTATGAATAAGGCTCTGTTGATCACGTGATTTATCTTCTTACATATGCACCGCATGTTGTGTTCTCAGAACAAGACAATATTGATACATGTTTAAGTAATCAAACCGTGATCTCTATCAGAGATGACTGTGTACTTTGTTTATTACATTTAATAAGGTGTACACAATGATGAAACAAGATGTGTTTGTGAAACACTGAGCCCCCGTACGACATTTTATGGTGAAGGTTAAAGTTTCTCGAATGCAAGTCAAACTCCAAGGTAAACGTCAAGAGAAAAAAAATGTTGTTACCCAAAGAAATTACTTGTGTCAATGGATAAACCAAATATGAAAGTCCAAGCACCAACCATTCCAAAGTTATGGTCAGAGTTAATGCTTCATAAAAGTGGGGAAAACTCGAAGTTCAAGGTCAAAGGGTCAAAATTAGAAGTACATACGGGAAGACTTTTTCATAAGAAACACACATGCAAAATATAAAAGCCCTAGTACTAACTTTTCAAAAGTTATGGCGAAGGTAAAAAGTTTTTTTTAAAGTAGGTCATACTCCAAGGTCAAGGTCAAAAGGTCAAAATTGTTAGCATCCAAAGGAAGGTCTTGTCACAAAAAATATAGGCCTACCTGTGAAATTTAAAAGCCCTACTACTAGGTGTTCAAAAGCTATGACCAAGGTTAATTTTTTTTAATTTAAAAGCCCTTGTACTAAATATTAAAAAGTTATGGCCAAAGTAAAAGTTTTTTTAAAAGTGGGTGAAACTCTTAGCTCAAGGTCAAAAGGTCAAAAATATTTACTCCCATGGAAAGATCTTGTCACAACGAAAACACTTGTGAAATATGAAAGCTCTAGCACCAACTGTTCAAAAGGTATGGCCAATGTTAAAGTTTAGAATTTTTTTTTGCAAAAGTGGGTCAAACTCCAAGGTCAAGAGGTCAAATATGTTGGTACGCAAAGGAAGGTCTTGTCACTAGTAATACACATGTGAAAGAAGAAAGTTATGCCTCCAACCAATCAAAAGTTATGGGCAAGGTTAAAGTTGTTGCGGACAAACAGACAGACGGACGGACAGGGCAAAAAATATATACCCCCGATATGGGGGTATATCTTCATGGGGGTATATCTTCGATACGGGGCATACAAAGGTTTCAAGTATTTGCTTCTAATATTTTGTCTCCTTTAAATCATTAACTTAAGTTTAAACAAAAAATGTGATGGATTTATATAAAAATATTACCAATCAAATAAACACATATGTTATCTTTTGATATTGTAAAAACACATTAGTTGTTTTATGTAAACGATATTAAATTTGCGTATTATATACCTTATTAGACCATAAAGATTATGGAATGTAAGGTTTTTTTTTGGGGTTTTTTTTATTTTTGGCTGCAAAGCAACTACAGGCCACTCCGTCAGTAGTGCGTGTCATGTAAAGAGGTTTCTTATTTGTGATAAGTTACAATTTTTGAAACTTTGTAAAGTGTTTATTCACACATTGAAGATGTACTCTCTTCATTTAAAATTAATATAAAATAAATAGAACCCTCTTTTTGTAATTTTTTCACCTCATCAATAGTGTCCGTAACACGGTATCTTTGTGTGAAATTATTTCCAACAATAAATGAAATCTAGCAATGCTGGTGATTAAACACAAAATGTGACCTCCTTTTGGGAGCAATGAAAAAATATTTTTCTATTGCCGAACTTGTAATTTTGTCCATGCCTCTTAGTACGGACAGCACATAAATTGTAATTTGCAGCTTTAATGTCTGTCTGATATTAACATTTACCCTAAACTTTCCGCTGCGATTCTACACACATTAGATATTTGCAGCTTTTATTTTGGATTGACTAAATTAAAAATAATGAAGATATCTCAGGTGTTGAACTTCGCACAATTCGCTTTACCAAATTGCTTAAATTCTCAAATGTCTATATACACAGTAAAATTTTTACTCCTAAGACCTATAAAACAGTGCAGCTAATATGTATTTCAGATATGCTCATAACAGAAATGAAGAGAAATTTTGCAGAATATTGTTTAGAAGTTTACTGAAGCTCTATAGATTTCCTGCCTTCTAATTCTTGGACCGTGAAGATATCTTTGACCCTATACAGAGCAATAATTTTTTGTAATATTGGTAATGTGGCAAGATTTCAAACGGATGTAAAGGTCACAAGTATATTCAAATATTTATTTAGTTTGAGGAGGCAAAAACTATAGATCATTCGAAAATTACAAAAGTTAAGAAAAGTAAAAAGATACTAGAAAAATGTTTAAAGTAATCACACGTAATTTAAAATACACAGAATTCGTTTTTATATTTCTATATATAAATATACATTCTTTTATTCCAAATCGTCAAAATGAAAGGCATTTCAAACATTGTTTCGTTTGATTTCTTTTAGAATGTACTTAAATGATAATCTAGGCAGTGTCCTTAAATCAACATCATCTTTTCCTCGATTGTATAATATGAATTTCAGCTTTGACATGCAGGAATATTTGTATTCATGTTAAAATTACTCAAACCTTAATCTTCACTCGTTTAATAATCCCTGAATTTGGATTAAAAGAATTCAATGTTGATTTTAGGTCTTAACAAAAGAGACGCTTTGAAGGTAACATATTAAACTAGTGGTCTGAAAACATCATTTATCCGATTAAATTTCAAGGTCACGTAATTTAAATCACGATATACGACCTTAATAAACCGTATGTCCTAAACTCCAAAACCGACCATTGTATGAATTTATACCTGGTCAGATAGTGTTCTTTAGGAATATCAAACCCGAGGGATGGAATTGGTACCTCAGCGATTTGTCACTGGTATGTTTATGAAATGTTAATCTTGTTGAGAAAATTGGTTTCAGACATTATAATATACGGATACGAAATCGATAGCTCACACTAAGTGATTAATTCCCTCTTGTGTTTTGTTGGGATTGTCCGATATACTATTAATTGATATTGACTATTAGTACAGAATGTGAAATGCCAATGGCAACCGAAAAGTGATTGATTAAAAATAATTGATATATCACTGTATGAATAAGAAACATGATGTTTGCAAATTCATTTTTTGCCAATAATTACTGGAGGGGAGAGTTTGTGTCACTTTCATAGATTACCTTATCATACATTTTTGTTGAATCTGGTGATGCTCTAAACGTTAATGGATTCTATTATTTAAAAATTCTAGTGAATAAATTGAAATTTTCTCATCGTTTCAGGAATAATGGATAGCAGGTGTACAGAATATAAATGCTAAAAACATTATAATGGAGAATTCTTCATCAAACGGATCGTCATTGCTGGAACTGGAAGAGGAATATCGTAGAAGAATTTCGGCAGATATTTTGAGTCGCCATCTTATTCCTTCTCTTGTTTACGTGATTGTACTCATTTTGATAGGAGTTCCTGGAAACTGCTTAGTATGTCACGTGTACACCACAAAATGGCGGCGAAGGAGAAAACCATCTACTTTGTTTGTCCTAGCTCTTGCCTGGTTTGATTTACTGAATAATATAGTATCATTACCCACTGAGATTTATCTCCTTACCAATTACATGTCATTTGATTCGCCATTTCTGTGTAAATCATCAAGATTTGTGACTTTCTTCATGAATGCCGCCTCTTCGGTTGTTCTCGTGGGGATTGCGATTGACAGATTTATTGGAATTTGGTGTTCCTTTAAAACCAAACCGTTTAGCGTTTCCCGGGCAAAATTTGTAGTTGTTCTTTCAGTGGCTCTAGCAACAGTCACGTGTTGGCCTAGTATTCTTCTATATGGAACACAGACGATCAAATCACAACAGTACTCCCTCAAGACTTGCCTCATTGATGATGATTTCCATGACAGTGAAAATAATGTGTATCCCTTCGTGTATGGAATGTATTTGTTAGGTTCTAACGTGATTGTCGATATAACATTCATAGTACTATATTCTTTGATAGGAGTTAAAATATATAAAAGAAGGCAATTCGGTAGTCTTAGTCCAAAAAGAAGCTGGAGTACTGTCGTAACTTTCAAACGAAGACCGAGTCTTTGTTCATATTCTAGTACAACAAATATAGACGAGGATAGTATTCCTTTGAATGCTGGGAAGGGAACCAAATTCAGTGCAAGACTTGTGAGGCAGGAGAGTTTTACAAGTGACAAGTCATATAACACCATGAAATATAAGTACAATATGAACAGATCAGTAGATTCATTGCCAGCTAAAGTAAATGGATTAAAATCTGATAATTCTTGCCGAACTCTGTCCAGAATTAGTGAGTTGCAAAACTTCACAATCGCCCAAGAACACAGAAAAAGATCAGCAAGCTTGCCGGAATGTAACACTCTCCATGTTGATGGAAAGAAATCACCAAGAAGCACGCTACTAAAAGGAAAATATTTATCCAGGCAGGCTTCCTTTGTGTCTTCGCAAACTTTACCGAGTGAAATCTGCCGGTACGGTCGTACCTATCATACCGGAAGAACTACTTTCATGTTGTTTGTTGTGACTCTAGCATACGTTTTAACGTTCGTACCGTATTGCGTCATAGCTGTGATACGTTACACAAACGAGGGATTTTACAACACACAAAATGACTTGCAAAAAAATTTCTATCATCTTTTTCTGCGATCTTATCTTCTTTCTAGTGCAATCAATCCACTAATTTATAGCTTTACTAGCCATGCATTTAGAAAAGAGTGTTCTGCGATCTCAAAAAAGTTATTTTGTAAATTGAAGGCCATGAATGTTTGAAAACATTATTGATTAGACAAATTCAAAGCATGTTCTGTGTTTACGCTGCTTTTATTCTTTCTTTCTTTTTTTTTTTTTTTTTTTTTTTAAAAAGAAAATTTGATTTTGTAAAAAAAATTTCTTCGCCTCAACAAGATGGCGAGAATCAAGATCTTAACCCCCTCCCCTTCCTTAAAATCTGTGTACATGGTATTCAGCGATGCTGAAGCATTGCAATCCCATCGTACTGGTCCTCCAAAAACTCTTCCGCCGAAATCATCATGTTTAAATTTACGTTGTAAGAATCCCCAAAAAATGCCCATGGGTCACAATGCTCACCTGAGTCCTTTTAGCCCTGCTGTTCTTTAGAGGAAGATTTTTTCCCTTTTTATTCACATGAAAAATTTTGACCGCATATGATGATATCGGCGTAACCAAAATTAAATTGGCAGAACAAAATCTAAACCAGTGCATCATTTGGAGGCTACATTATCAATGAAATATGGAGATAACGAACAGTATTCAAGCTCAAAGTCCATTAGACAATACAGCAGAGCAGACACAGACCTCCAAAAACAGAGATGGGATCAGCCATGGAGGAGTGAGCATCCCCTGCCGACCGGTCACACCCACCGTGTGCTCCTTGTCATGATCGGGAAATAACGGAAAAATCCGTCGACAATTCAATGTATGATTAATGGCCTAACAATTAGTATGAAAAACGTCAGTCAGCATATGACTTAATGATAGATTGTATTTGCTGATAAGGTCATTGTATCGACCATAGAACTTAAGAAATGATGACTTTAAACAAGACTGTTGGTATTCTTGTTTCATCAACTTGTTTGTCAATAAATTACCTCGTTTTAGAAATTGTTCATACATAGAGCACGTTCTTGCGTATCAAATCGATAAGAGATGCACACTCCATATGCAGGTAATAAGGGAAAATTGCTGCATAAGTAAGGGAAGTTGACGATTGAAAAGTTAGTCATCACGTTTATCATAAAGCTTTGTTGTTGGATTACCATTGACGTCTTTTTCTAGTAAAATATCCAAATATGAAACAGATGTGTCAGACTCTGTGGTATTTTTTATTTCAAGCTCACTGGGATATATCGTGTCGTTATATCAATGGAAATAACTATTGTTAGTTGATAATAAGTCGTCCATATATCTAAATGTCGAGTTGAAGGCCACAGCAAGATATTTCTTTTTCTCATGTATAAGATTCTGAATAAATTCTGCTTCATATGAATACAAAACTAGGTCTGTTAACAACGGGGCGCAATTGGTACCCATATATCAGGTCTCGACGATTTCCAAATATGGAAGTCAAGAACGATAACCGTGAATTGCTATAAATACACAGAATAAACAAGGCGCTAATCCTTATGACCAATCAAATAACTGCATTCAGAAAATAAATAAAACACGAGGTTTTAAAGTTTTTTTTGCTCAAAGATTTTTTAGAACAAACTTTTTGTAACTTTATGCACATTTAGGAATGTTATAGAACATGTATGTATCGCCAGATACTAGTATATAGGACAGATTTAAACCATCATCCGACAATTAGATTGGGTCACAATATAGGATATCAAATGTAATAATTTTACAGAGTCTTTTTAATTAAGTTCTTTTCTCAAGTATTAAATGTTTTAATATTGATAGGTAAAAAAGGGACGCGATAGGTCAAATGAATAATCAAAAGTTTACACGAGAATATAAAGGACATTAAGAGAATTTGAGAGCAATAAGGCGACACTAAGCCATATTGATATGCAAACATTTCCTCGTAATTTGTAAGTTTGTTCATACTATGGATTTAAAGTAATGATGGGCTCAAATTTTCATAAAACACATGAATAGAGAAGCATATTTAGAATTATATCTTCTCCAGAAGAGCAAAACCAAATGAGTCATATTGATTTTAAGAATCCCCATGTATTATGAATTCATGTTTGATTATGTCATGACATCTTCGGACTTAGGTATGGGGTCAACATTTTTATTGGAATGTAAAAGGAAAAACTCTTTCTTAAAAATCTTCTATAAGGGAGAGCCGGGCAAAGGTGAAACATTATTGCCTATGGACTTCTTGTTCAAGATTTTTCATAGATATCTGATCCCTTATTTGGACTCACCCTCCTTCTGGGGACCACCATTTCAATTAAATAGAATCTACACTACATGAGAATGTTTGAGTATAATTATGACTGATCATCACCATGCGATATCCTATATTTTCCTATGTAAATGTATTATCCCCTATTGTAGCATAACTTCACTCTCCAAAGTCCATGACTTACAAACAAGTGAATGTGCACTTTCTGAAAATGCTTGCATATAAATATGACTAATCACGGACAGCTATTTTAAAAATGTCTGTTCTATATTTTTTCTTGTGAAAAATTTGATCAATTCTGCCCACACACTACCAAAGAGATGATTTAAATAAACGGATTCCTTTACTCAACAGTGCTTTGAAATAAGTTCGATAGAATTAGGTCCAGTGGCTCTTGAAAAGAAGTCGAAAATGTGAAAAGTTTACAGAAGGACGCCTGACAAAGTCCACCGGCTGAATATAAAAACAGAAGCCATTACCTTAAAAGCAGATGCTGTGTTTCCTTGTCCTACATTTCAAGTTATCTCCTTCTTTTTAATTAATAAAAAATCAATTTTAAAAAAAAATAAAAACTTGTCCGGTAAAAAAAAAAAAATATTTTCAAATGTCATTCTATTTCTATTGTTTTAATGCATCTTTTCACCACAGTATTTATTGATATTTTTATTATTAGGAAATTATAAATAAAATAGATTTTACCTCGGAATGGTATGCATATTAATAGATTGTTGTGAAATTAAAACCACAGTCCGAAAACGTTCATAAACATTGACCTAAGTTTTAATATAGTCATGTGTTTACTAAAGACCCTGATAGAATTTGTTAGGATACCTAAGCGATAAACAAATATATATGCTCTAATATCTTTTTATGCTACATAATCTGAAATAGGTCAGCTGATTAATTCCACATTCTACATTTCAAGCTTATATGGGTTCAAGCCCGTAAATTCCATGCATTGACAAAATGCAGAAATAGGAGACGTGATCCAGTAATTGCTGATATATATTTAATGGAGAACTTTAAAAGGTTTCACCTTTAAAAACAATGCTACAAACACTAACCAAACAATTCTAACTAAAACATTAAATTAAATATTAAAATAAAACAGATTCTAGAGATATACATTTATTTAAAAATATATATATAAAAGAATTGATCCTCACGATCCTAATTTACATAACTGTAGGTACAATTTAATGTTTTAATTTGCACCTGATAGTAGAGAGGCAAGTCTGAATATAACCGAAATGATAACATTTACAACCTGTCAGGTTTTCATTAATACACGTCCGTAGGAATATATAAATTAGTTATTAAAGAAAGGTCAAGATCTAAATGTCGGAACTAACTTCCTTTTTAACGTCAGAATACACTGCGTCAGTAAGTTTATAGTTTGACAGGAGTGCTGTATGTATAAACGAACAGGATAGGACCTGGGGTCAAATGATAAAATCTAGGACGTGTTTGTCCACCCTAAAAGCAAACAAGAAAGGGAAGTCAATCAAATTATCATTACTAAATATTTGAGCGTTCTGAAGTTGTTGGTTTTTTTTTAAATAAGATAATAAGAATGTGATTTTCATTCTTTTACCAGGTGAAATGGACACTATTAATCTTAATATTATTAAATATTGAAGCAGAGATACGAAAAAGGTTCATTCATTCTAACTTTTTGTCCAATTATATATATATATATTAGGGATGGCAGTTTGTAACTGGTTAACCGATTACTCGGTCGGTACGATGTTAATCGGTTAGAAAATCTGTAATCGGTTAGTCGGAAAATAAATAAAAATATGTGAAAATTTGAACGCAACCTTCTTACTTTCTTCCTCTGCATACAGGATGATAATTTAGCGTTTTCACATAGAGATCTTTCTATGTAAGCTTATTTGGAGGTAATTATGCCTCTCCGGATTGATATTGCGAGGTAAGTGGTCAGTTTGTTTAGTGTTAATTACTGTTTAAACACCATGTCGTTACCCTGCCTGTCCTGCAATTCTTAAATAATATCATAATTAAATAACTGACCGTTGAGCAATCTGAATTGGTATGTCTATCTTTTTGCAGTTATCAAATATTATTAAACAAACATTGTAAATTAAGTGCAGGTTCCTACTTAGTTTTGATTACGGTAACAATGAAGTATGAACTTGTGTGACATCTGCTCTGGAAAATAATCAATGTCTGATTTCTCAGGCATGTTTAATGTTTTTTTTCTTAATTTTTCCTTGTCTAATGAATTTGAAATGAAACATATGTACATGTAGTTTCCAGATCAAGGTCAAAAAGAAATTTTCTACCTTCTTACGTCTTTTTGTCTTATTTTTTTATATGAACAGAGGTTCGTGAAAAAATATGTCAAGAAAATGTGTATTTTGATACGATTAACCGGTTAATCGGTCGGAACGTGTTCCGGTTAACCGATTAGCAATTCTGTATTCGATTGCCATCCCTGTCTGTCGTCTGTAAACTTCTCATATTTTCGACTTCTTCTCAAAAACCACTACGCCAATTTCAACCAAACTTGTCACAAAGCATCCTTGGATGAAGGAGATTTAATTTGTTCACAGGAAGTGCCGCGCCCTCTTTCAAAGGGAGATAATTAAGAATTCGTGAAATTTGGTGGCATCTTTTCAAAATCCTCTTCTCAAGAACCACTGGGCAAGAAAAGATTCAGGTTTGTTCATATCATTATCCCCGGAGATAGGGCGGGGCTACAAGAGGGGGTTGGTATTTACATAGGAATATATAGTAAATGTCTTTAAAAATCTTCTCGAGAACAGTAAAGCCATGATTAGTCATATTATCATAGAAGTATCCTCAGGTAGTGTAGATTCAAATTTATTCCAATCATGAGCTGAAGAAGTTGGATGTTGAATAAGCAATCCATCCCTAATAGCAACAGATTCAATGAAGTTGAAAATATAGCAGATGTGTAGGGGGTTGAATACTCGGAATATTTAGACATAATTCCCATTTATTAGTAACTGGCATGTCAGGATGGGATGTATCTTAATTTCCCAATTTATCACCTTGAAGTTGCGGGTCCTTCGGAAAAGACCTTAAAAACCGAGGCCCCATGTCACGGCAGGCGTTGGCACGATAAAGATTCCTCACTGCTCAATGGCCCTGAGTGCCGAGTAAAGGTCGAAATTTGAAGCCCTTCATCGGTATATGGTGACGTCTCTATATGAATGAAAAATTCTCGAACGGGAATCAACCAATCAATCCATCTATCCTTAAATGTCCATCACGTACATATACAGTAGAAATAGATTAACCTGGAGAAAGTTTCAAAAATGTAATTAACTCAGCAGTAATACATTATCAAAGATTGCATTGACGTAGATGGGGACAAGCGATTTTTTTGAAAATAAAAATTCACGAGGCTGATAGGCCACAAGGCTCACCTAAGTTTCCATGCTTTTCTTATCAATGAAATATGTACATGTACACTGTATATACAAAAATTATCCCTAATTGTGATCATTAAATCTAAAGGTCTATGAGGTCGGCAATTTTAAATTCAGAGTATATTGAGGCTTGTGTCAAATTTAAAATTTATTGTAGCATTAGTCCATTCGTAGACAATACATATCTGTTCTCACAAAACATACAAGCAAAGAACTGATGTATAAAATGTTAAGTTTTATTAGGAAATGAGAACAGTGATGTTAGAAAAAAGCATCTCATACAAAAAATATAAGAAAAACACATAAAAAAATATATTAATACAAAACATTGTAACTGTCAACATGAAATATCCATTGCACATCAGTAGCAGTTGCATACTTTGCACTCGCACCTTTCAATCAGCTGACTAGATAGTTTTGAAAGTCAAAAGAAGTAGAGAAGACTATAATTATTATCCATAACTTCAGCACATATAACTACCTTTGTCATGTTTTTTTTAAATATTTCAATATTGAACCAAATGGAAAAACGATACACAATCACACACAAACTTGACACTGAGTCATATAATGACACATTAAATAGCACCAGTGCATAGTTAACTGTTCTTATTTAGAGGAACTCTTAATGGACAGGCAGCAAGTATATAATGGAATATCTTAAATACACATTAAACATTTAACCCATAAGAGACCCAAAACATTGACGAAATTAAAAAAGCTAGTTTCTGTGGTTAGGGAACTGGGACCTTTGGATAAAAACCCAATGATGGGAATTACCATCATTAAAAACTATATGACCTATGCAAGTAATTATACAAGGACATACAGAACAACTAATAAACGTAAAATTAATTAAACTGTTTGTACTGGAACATATCTTTTGTCGTGTCCACTTTAATCTTTATAATACTATTTGACTAACTTCTCTTATTCAAACATGGCTGCGCCAATTCAATGTCTCGAAACCAGTAATCTAGATGTGATATTGTAGAATGTCTGGAGGAGACATGATAACCATCCCAATAATGATATAATAACACACTACCTACTTACCTCCTTAAAGTTAAAAACGTGAAAGCCAGATTTGTTACAGCAATGTGTAACGATTGAAAAATAATATTGTAAATTTACCATCTGAAATTAAACAGGTCCACTGACACATTCTAGAATGAAGAAGAAGCTCCATCTTCCAAATTTCACAGATTATTTTGCTGTTTCTTCGATAAAGAAGGCATTAGATCTTATAGATAACATAAAAAATAAATAGTTCTAAATTCCACGTGTAATAATGTTTAACTAAAAAATATATATGAATTTCATAAACTTTGTGTTTAAAAATCCATCTCTATTGTCAAGTTCTTGGTGAAAAACTAGAAATTCACAAGTTTATACCTAAAGAATTTCAAAATGAAAAAGATATATCTAATGACATATAAAACACATAATTTAGCATTAATAGTACTGCATATTCGCATTATATGACATTTTTAAATGCTTGAAAAGCTATGAATACATTCTCTGATGACTAGAAAATTGATGAGATTAATAAAAAGGAAAAAAACAGCCAAATTTCAAATTTGTTGCTTTAAATAGTATATCCATCAATAAATATATACAGTACGTATTGCATAAGTGTTACAATGAGCAATATTTCTTTCCAAGGAGAAAAGTACTTTCCTACAAATTGGAGGTTTAATAGAATTCGTTACAAAAATAGGGAAGGGGGCCTATTGCTATCAATTTTTCTATTTAAAACAACATACAGACTAAAACATATAATCAACAAAATAATTCTATGTTTGTCTCATAACTTTGGGGGACCTCTACATTTATGTCAGCACATTGCATTTTAACTTCCAGTCACGTGATTCCTAAAGTTCCGTGAGTTGTTGATCACTGATTTTTGTAATGGAGTTTTCATAAAATTGATCTGGCTCTTCTTCCTCCTCCTCTTCTTCTTCCTCGTCTTCATCATCTTCATCACTCTCTGGAAAATCAATAAATAAAATGACATATTGAAAAAATAGCTTTTGTGATAGTACATATTATTTCAGATAGTCAGATTTTAAATGGTCAATTGACACAAATCTTTTTGTTTTTTTATTTAATATACACGGTATGTTTTTGAAAGGACATTTTTCACAGCATTAAAAGTGCCTACTGATAGACAGATAACCGCTGAAAAAATAACACATTTCTCTCTGTGAATAAATGGAGAAAAAACTTTTTAAATGATCGTCAGTTATTTTTTTTTTTAATAATCGTCTAAATATACAGATTAATGATAACATAAATTCATGTAGTCATAGTTGTCAATATTGTCCATGGCTATTTCAGCGTATAATTAAAATTCGATTAAATGCATGCTACAGTCTCGCAGTTGTGGTACAAATATGCTAAACTTCAATCCTATTTGAAGATATAATAGTAAAATACAATATCTTATTTGTTCTATTGAGGAGAATATATAGCTGGTACATTGCAATATTTTTGTTTGCTTTATCAAAATAAGCACTTATACCAGGCATCTTCCTATCTGTTTGCTTATTGGGCATAAATAAAACATTGACAAATTCCAAATATTTGTTTAGATAGAAGCAAGTTTCTATATTTCATGAAGACAATCATGCCTGCATACTTTTCTGGAAGAGTTTCAAATATGCACTGAATATCTTAAGCTTTCTTCCATACATGTAATACTATTAATAAAGTACTTAGAAGTATTCACCTGCTTCAAACTGTTGAACTTTAAATTGAAATACAGTACACTTTATTATTTATTACGAATAAAAGTAAACAGATCATTATGTAAGAGAAAAACTCCCGGGATTACAGTCATAAATGATTTCAAACGTCATTCTCTGGTATATTACAAACATTACGACAACATTGACTTCCTCTTTTGCAAGTAATGGCTGTCATATTAAGATTTTTTATTCTTTAAGTTTTTTTGCCTATCTACTCCTTATAGCCAAATTGCACTCTGTGCTTCCGTCCTAAATTCCCGACTACATAATATTATGTAATGTTAATGTGAGGAATTGTTGGAAAGTTTTTAATTTGTTTAGGAAAAAAGTAAATATTCCTGAATATAAGTATAAATTTATCACTTCATGAACTTGAGTGTCATATGGTACGCACGTGTATATATGAATTTTACAGACCTGACTCAATCTGTTTGCACACCTGTGTGTTAAATATGTACATAGGAACATGCAAATTATAGTCCTCAATTCTTCAAAAATTTATTTTAACATGAACAACGTGAATAGATGTTAATTTAAAAGTTTTAAATGATTTTCATGTTTTTTTTTTTTTAGTTTGTGGTAAAAATAATTTTATTGACAAACAGTGCGAAAAGGTTTTGGAGGTTTGATTGAATTTTGTTATATAACACAGACACGTTCGGTCATAATCATCCTTATAACCATGATCAATAAATGTTATTTACGGACCTTAAAATAATTATGGAAAGAAACAATATACTATCTGAGTCTTTGAAGATTTTTTTTTTAAAATTTTTTATCAATACGTGAATATTAGACTTCTTCAGAAGGGGCAAAGTTCATCTACTAGAAAGGACTCAAGGAGTCAGATAAAAAGAAATTTTTGTGTACTTACGGAATGCAGTGTTCTCGTATACAATTTCATTAGTAAGGATGGATTCATCATTACTCTGTAGAAGACCATTTCTTTTTCTCTCTACCAGCTCCACTAGGGCTCGATGTATAAATATGTATTGTTTCTAAAAATAAGTTTAAATTCTATAGTATACAATAAGCCAAAATACACGTAATATACCTGCCAACTGGTTTTACGAAACATTTTTAATCAAATTTGTCATTTAATGCGTGTTTTACATATTGAGAACTATTATGAATTTGAAAAGCTAGAATGTTCTTTTTTTTTAATCTTAAAATTTGGTTATTTTGGGGGAAACAAATCTTGGTTACTCTCATAATTGCTTTGAAAAAGATTTTTTTTTCAAAATCATTGAACTCTGCTAGTCTATTTCAAAACTCATAAAGGGAAAAAATAGAAGAAAAAAATGTTCAGCAAACTCACATCTACTTGAACCATTGATACTCTGTTTTTGCGCATCTGTACAACCCAGGCAAAAATATCAACAGATTGACTGAGATCGTGATCCCGTACATACTGTAATAGATAGTCTATGCTAATATACGTCCCCGTGCGCCCAACGCCCGCGCTAAAAGAGAAAAAAACAAAACAGGCCATCAAATGTGTAGTATAATATTAAAAATATGAAAACCTATTCACATGTACTTTGAAAAAATTCATATCCATTTTCATGAACAAAAGGCCTTTAAAACTACAAAAATTTCATTGAATTCTTTTGATAAAGGAATGATACAAAGATAATTCAATCATTAATAAATGTATAATCTGACTTGAGTACATATGGGTATTTTTCTAAGTGTTGAAATTTGTACGAACTAGTTGCAGAAACATTTCGTGTTGGGTGTATTTTCGAGTCGTGTTCTTTACGATCAACGTTTCTATTCTTTGATTCTTATCGCTAAATGTTTTTACTTATTTACCTGCAGTGGATCAAAATGGGACCTTTAACCTCTGGTGTAATGTGAGTTCTAACGGTTTGTATAAAGTCAATAACTACAGTTGAATCAACGGCGGCAGAAAAATCGGGCCACTCCAGGAAATGGAAATGCTTTATGGTACGAGTGTAATCACCCTGAAATAGGTATCAATAATGTATAATAGGATTCCTCGAGCATACTTTATGGTATGAGTGTAATCACTCTCAAATAGGTATCAATAAAGTATAATAGTGTAATCCCCCTGAAATAGGTATCAATAATGTATAATAGGATTTCTCGAGCATACTTTATGGTATGATTGTAATCACCCTCAAATAGGTATCAATAATGTATAATAGTGTATTCACCCTGAAATAGATATCAATAATGTATAATAGTGTAATCACCCTGAAATAGGTATCAATAAAGTATAATAGTGTAATCACCCTGAAATAGGTATCAATAATGTATAATAGGATTTCTCGAGCATACTTTATGGTATGAGTGTAATCACCCTCAAATAGGTATCAATAATGTATAATAGTGTATTCACCCTGAAATAGGTATCAATAATGTATAATAGTGTATTCACCCTGAAATAGGTATCAATAATGTATAATAGTGTATTCACCCTGAAATAGGTATCAATAATGTATAATAGTGTAATCACCCTGAAATAGGTATCAATAAAGTATAATAGTGTAATCACCCTGAAATAGGTATCAATAATGTATAATAGGATTTCTCGAGCATACTTTATGGTATGAGTGTAATCACCCTCAAATAGGTATCAATAATGTATAATAGTGTAATCACCCTCAAATAGGTATCAATAATGTATAATAGTGTATTCACCCTGAAATAGGTATCAATAATGTATAATAGTGTATCCACCCTGAAATAGGTATCAATAATGTATAATAGTGTATTCACCCTGAAATTGGTATCAATAATGTATAATAGTGTATTCACCCTGAAATTGGTATCAATAATGTATAATAGTGTAATCACCCTGAAATAGGTATCAATAATGTATAATAGTGTATCCACCCTGAAATAGGTATCAGTAATGTATAATAGTGTAATCACCCTGAAATAGGTATCAATAAAGTATAATAGTGTAATCACCCTGAAATAGGTATCAATAATGTATAATAGTGTATTCACCCTGAAATTGGTATCAATAATGTATAATAGTGTATCCACCCTGAAATTGGTATCAATAATGTATAATAGTGTATTCACCCTGAAATTGGTATCAATAATGTATAATAGTGTATTCACCCTGAAATAGGTATCAATAATGTATAATAGTGTATTCACCCTGAAATAGGTATCAATAATGTATAATAGTGTATTCACCCTGAAATTGGTATCAATAGTGTATAATAGTGTATTCACCCTGAAATAGGTATCAATAATGTATAATAGTGTAATCACCCTGAAATTGGTATCAATAATGTATAATAGTGTATTCACCCTGAAATAGGTATCAATAATGTATAATAGTGTAATCACCCTGAAATAGGTATCAATAATGTATAATAGGATTCCTCAAGCATACTTTATGTTACGAGAGTAATCACCCTGAAATAGGTATCAATAATGTATAATAGTGTAATCACCCTGAAATTGGTATCAATAATGTATAATAGTGTATTCACCCTGAAATAGGTATCAATAATGTATAATAGTGTAATCACCCTGAAATAGGTATCAATAATGTATAATAGGATTCCTCAAGCATACTTTATGTTACGAGAGTAATCACCCGGAAATAGGTATCAATAATGTATAAAAGGATTCATCAAGCATATCAAAAGGTGAAGTAGTGAAAAGGGAACGATTTATATAAAAAAAAAAACTACAAACAATACAAATCTGTGATTGGAGCAAGAAACATGGACCTCCTGGAATTCCAGAGGTGGGATCAGGTGCCCAGGAAGAGTAAGCATACCCTGTTGACCGGTCACACCCGCCGTAAGCCCTATGTTTTGATCAGGTAGACGGAATATTCCGTAGTCAAGTTAAGTTTTAAAACACAGGCCCAATTAACAATTGATATGAAACATGTCAGTCAAAATACGATCCAATGATAGGATAAATTTGCTAACAAGGTTATTATAATGACCATAGAATTTACGAAAAGCTGATTTTAAACGAGGTTGTTGAAATCCTTTTAACATCAAATTATCTGTCAGTATCTGCCTTCCTCGGTTTTAGAAGTGATGGTACTCAGAGCATGCTCTTAAGTATTGAGTAAGTATCGAATAAGTTGGGAGACAGATACACCATATGCAAGTGATTGTGGAATATTACTACATAAATAAGGAAAGTTGACGATGAAAAAGCTGAAGTCATCTCGTTCGTCATACAATTTAGTTGTTAGTTGGCTCTATATAATTCAGTTTATTTCGTATATAATATATAATTTTATCAAATCCGATTTTTCCCCTTGAAAACAATACTTGCATGAGTGTATTGTGTGTTTACAAAAAAAACACGCTGTTACAAATGTCTCAAATAATGGTATCTACGCATGCATAAAAAATTACCTGTGATACTTGGAATATGTTAATGTCAAATTTGTCCATATTTGACACTGATATGAGGTTAACTACGATGTCGCCATATTGTTTAGGTTCATTTATTGTATCTGGCCAGTAGTGCTCACATTTGTCCTGAAAGTGAATTTCCATAAATGAATGTAAAACTTTGTATGAGATTTTGAAACACTACAGTATTTGTTAAATTGAGTGAATGATTACACTTTGATTTTATAATACCTTTCCTAATTTACTGTACAATAAATTTTTAAACAATTATTTAAATTTGTTTTGGGTTTTTCTTTTCTTATTTTCACAGTTGAAGCTGAACTTGGAAAATAAAGTTGCAAAATCATTTTAGCATAGACTTTTTGAGTAAAAACAAAATAAAAAAGCTAGGTATACAAACAATTTTAAACTGAAGAAATTTTTACTGAATCTTAAGTTTCTTAGAATGCATAATGTTTTTTTCTTCGGAGATGAGTATTCATGTATACCAAACGTACACCTTGGCCAAAGCTTCTCTTCTCCGACAGCATAGAACAGCATGAGAGTTTAAACAAAACTAATTTGTTACCGAATCCCTACTTCCTAATCCTTAAGTGGAAGAGGCTTTATAAGGTTATTTATAGTTTAATGATCTATACATAATATTAAGATACATAGCTTAAAAGTAATGTTTTAACGTTTCGTTAACAACTTTCATATACTAGAAGAACTTTTTTCAAGCAAAATTTGTAACAGAACTACAAACATTTCTGATATTATTGATTCAATATAACAACTGTCATTTGATATGTGTATTAAACAAATGATTCCTTACAAAATAAACTCCTTACTTTCAATGTCTCCATTTGTATTAAAATGATCATTTTTATGTGTTAAGTAAAAGTTTAGTGTATTTCTCGATATGTTGACAATTCGCTCTTTAAACTGCCTATGTTTATTACAACCAACCAGAGTAATAAATTATGGTATATTATATAATTTGAAGATTTAATCAATCAAGTATGAGATATTTAAATTTATTTAGATTAACTGCTATAATAACATCATTATAGCACATTTATAAATTTACCACACAATAATCCATGTACAAAGCATTAGTAAGGAAGAACAAAAAAGGAGGGGAAGCAATGGAACAAATATGAAAAAAAATCTACAGATTTCATACATACTAAGTCTTCTTGAAAAGTCATAAGCTTCAGTAATAGTTTTAGGGGTTTATGTATCAAGTTTTCCTTATAATACTTATATTAACCTACTTTTAAAAAAAATATGTATATATATTTTACCACTTTAGCGTATTTTAGCATGTAAAATATGCAATCTATGCTAAATATACGCAATATATTTTTAGTATGAATTTTTCAATGATTATGACATATATTTCAAATGAAAAATAAGAAATTAAAAATGCATAAGGAAAAATATATTTTTAGCCCCTAAAATTGAATGTTGCCTTTCTTATCAGTGAAAAATGATAATCCACTTTTGAAAGTATACAAAGTATTCAAATTTCAGCACTTTAACCTAAAATCTATCAAACAAAACCAAATTTTAAGCTGGTGACATTTAGTAAGAAGCAGTCATTCAATGATGCTCTACAAACCTCTACAATGCCAAAGTCGCTCTAAAACAGATTCCAGTTTCCAATGATAATGAATTTTAATCAAATATTTATTCTAAAAAGTTTGTTCATACTCCATTAATTATCAGACCGATTGCTATGAGAAACGCCATTATAGCATGGTCACAAACCTTTTATGTGCTATATGTGGTATACTTTAGAATAGAAAAGTGGATAAATAAACATTTATTCAGACAAAATATTTTTGTTTCCAACTTTCCATTGAATTTTTTGATTTTTTTTTCATTACAGATACATATAATTATATTGTTTTAAATCTAGAAAGATTTGAATGCATTATGATAAAGTGAATTTAGTATCTAGTTAATAATTAATTAATTAGGACCTACTGTATTGCCTTCCTTGCACTTAGTAAGCATGACGATAACTGTAGCACTTTGTTCCCAGGCCATTCTCCAAAAGTCATTGACCGTCCCAGGAAGTGGACCCTGACTGGCGATATACTCTCTTTCGTAGGTATAACCCTAAATATACAACATTGATTTAGGAAAGAGATAAAGATATAAACTTTAAGTGTTATATGTTTATCTTTTTTTCAAAAGGGTGGAAATCCGTGACTACTTTTATAAGATAAAAAGTCTGATCAATCAAAATAAAGAATAAAATTTAATCCAGAGCAACTTGTTCATTTTTGGAAAAATATATCCATCTAGATTTATAAGAAATCCATAACAATTTAAAGACACAAAAATACATGTACATATATGACTTCTTTCTAAATTGAGAAATTACAAAGGTATATGAAACAAACTACAAATGTTTCAAAATATGACTTAGCTTTTTAAAAACATCTTAATTTAAATGCATGAAGAATTTGAAAATACAGGAATAGTGTTCAGTCCATGAAAATAAAAGAAGACGAACCACAATAAAATTTGCATTGATATAATCACTGCATGGGTCATCGTCAATCAGATGAAGCTTCACACGGCTGTGGTCATCTACAATGAATATCGAAATTCAGTCACCCCTATTAACGAATTTACATCCCCATGGACAATTATTTTTCAACGTATTATTTCCTTAAATCTTAATAATTAATTGTATACAAGTTTACCACGAAATTATGTCCCCATGAAACAGTAAATTTTTGGTTGATCCCAAACATTAAACCACACGAATTAAAATGATTCCATATAATGTGGATATATGTGCATTTTTAACATATGATGCTATATTTAGTAAAATTTAAATAAGCTTACAGGCTAGGATGATGCTATATTTAGTAACGTTTAGATTAGCTTACAGGCTAGGATGTTGCTATATTTAGTAACGTTTAGATAAGCTTACAGGCTAGGATGTTGCTATATTTAGTAACATTTAAATAAGCTTACAGGCTAGCATGATGCTATATTTAGTAACATTTAAATACGCTTACAGGCTAGGATGATGCTATATTTAGTAACTTTTAGATAAGCTTGCAGGCTAGGTTGATGCTATATTAAGTACCTTTTAGATAAGCTTACAGGCTAGGATGTTGCTATATTTAGTAACGTTTAAATAAGCTTACAGGCTAGGATGATGCTATATTTAGTAACATTTAAATAAGCTTACAGGCTAGGATGATGCTATATTTAGTAACGTTTAGATAAGCTTACAGGCTAGGATGATGCTATATTTAGTAACATTTGAATAAGCTTACAGGCTAGGATGATGCTATATTTAGTAACGTTTAAATAAGCTTACAGGCTAGCATGATGCTATATTTAGTAACATTTAAATACGCTTACAGGCTAGGATGATGCTATATTTAGTAACTTTTAGATAAGCTTGCAGGCTAGGTTGATGCTATATTAAGTACCTTTTAGATAAGCTTACAGGCTAGGATGTTGCTATATTTAGTAACTTTTAAATAAGCTTACAGGCTAGGATGATGCTATATTTAGTAACATTTAAATAAGCTTACAGGCTAGGATGATGCTATATTTAGTAACGTTTAGATAAGCTTACAGGCTAGGATGATGCTATATTTAGTAACATTTGAATAAGCTTACAGGCTAGGATGATGCTATATTTAGTAACGTTTAAATAAGCTTACAGGCTAGGATGATGCTATATTTAGTAACGTTTAAATAAGCTTACAGGCTAGGATGTTGACATATCTGTTCTTGGCCTTGTTGCCGTCTAGATTGGCGTGATTTGTTGTTCGTTTTTTACCTTCAATCTGGCTAAGTTTCTTAATGTCCTAAAATTGAAATGCACATATAGGATAAAAACTGATGCAGTCAAAAACTGTGCTAAATTATTTCTGGTACATTTGCTTTCCTCATTTCTCGTTCATTGAACAGTTTTATTTGTAATTGACTATGTGCAAGGCCTATGTTTTATTTTTTTAACTTCTTCAATGAAATCTAATTAACCAGGAGATATTATATAATAATAGTAATAGATATATCTATACAAATACAACAGCTTACGTCATATTCCAATAGGAAGAGCCTGTTTGAGTCTGCTGATTTTTCTTCAAAAATCTTTTGGACGTCATTTAAAATAAAAGGCCTACAAAATACAACATTGTATTTATTTCATTCATTCCCACTATAGTTTCCTGAAAACAGGTGTCGCCAGAACAACAACATTTTGAATGCACCCATTTTAAACGTGAAGTAATAAAATGAAAAAAAAGTCTAACATCAAAGTTTCCAGGCCAATAACTCTAGTAAATTTATTTGGAAAAAAATCACTTTTCACACAGAATTGGAAGATGTACAACATAACTATTTTTCTCGAAATTATAGAAAAAGCCAAAATTAAGGTTACGAGATCAGTAAGCCTTATCCATTAGGAAAAGTCATTTCAATATAGGGTACTAAATACCAAAGTAAAATTATTGTGTCTGACAGACATATAAGTGCACCCCAAGGTCCCCCTCCCCGTTTTGCAGGCAATACAAGAACACATTAAGTGTAAGTAAAACTTGGTATTCGAGGCAAGTTAAAAACTCATCAAATTCATAGTAAAATTATTATTTCGATATTGATAATAAATCTAAATCAAAAATGATTACTCATATTCACGAATATTGAGTAGTTTTTAAATTTGACGCAGTACTCATAAATAATCACAAATACGGCTTCATACGAATAATATGAACAGTGAAAATATAACAATTATATATTTTTTAATTCTATGTGCATGGCAATTATTCACAGAAGACTTGTACCTAAGTTTTGGATAATCCAAATTTGCGCTTGATTTGTGATGACGATGTCAATAAATGCCAGTTAAAACCAGTCCACTGTAAATTGGCATTAAGTACATTTTTATTTTCAAAAGATAAGGTGTTGCTGGATTAAACGTTCAATTCTTTCAACGTTCAATAGCTGTATAATATTGGTGATACGAACGTTGAACAAAAGCAACGGCAAGACAAACACAGAGGAAAAAAATATTTTATGATTGGCTAGAACATGTGATAGGTACGCTGTATTTTGTGATGTGATTTAAATGTGTCTCGCTAAGGATTGAAAAAAAATATGATTCCTTAAAAAATAATCATATCCAGTATGGGAATTATTATTAACAAATGTTAAATTCAGTCACGTCTACATAAAACTCTCAATGTACAAGGAATATATCCTATTTCAATATATCAATTTCTGGCTTTGACTACTGTTTACCTGTCTAAGGGAATATCCTCCTCCGGAATATCAGGATCATTGAGCACGGGAATCGACTGTCCTCTTGGATGAACATAAACATCCTCTCTAAAAACAAAATTTGCAAATGACAACAGGACACTAGTGTATACTCATGTCATTTACTTTCCAAGTATGATAAATCAATTAATCTAAACACTTCCTTAAATATCCATTCATTGCCACACACGTGATATTTCAAAATTACTCTAGCACTCATTATAGCACATGACGAATTAAATATAGGAAATACAACAATTAAAACTGAACGTAAACAAAAAACACTTTAATGAAAAAATATTTGAAGATCAGATCACTAATATATAACATTGAAAAAGTAACAAACATTATTAATTGTGCAATGTTTTTGAGGACATACCCGAAAACCATGTACCACCTTGTTAAAGAAACCATAGTTAATCCACATACTCATCGTACTGGCATGTTTGAATAACCAGCACGGTTTACAGATCATGGAGGAAACAGGAAAAAGCTGGGGCACATAAAATTCATTTCGAGGCTGTTAAAACTCAATAGGGCGCTCGGGGAACTGAATTAGGATATATCCAATTAAAGAGATACTCATTTTAAAGTTAAGATTTTTTTTTTTTTAAAGTGGATTATCAAATAAACGAAGAACGAATAAACATCTTTCATATCTTGGACATAATCTGTTATCTAAAGATGAAAATGAAGTTCATCCTCGAAAAATTGGATGCTGAAAAATGAATCTAGTGCGAGACATTTACTGGAGAAAAGAGAAAAAAAACTAATCAAAAGAATTGCAATCATTGTTTGTTTTTATACATTATTTTAATCATCGGAGGAAAAAAAATTGTAATTATTAAGAATATTGATAGAAGCTTCCGAGAGGTGTATGCAAAGATTTCATATCTAATAAATCTTATTCATACCGATTATATCAAGAAATCTGTGAGCCAATGCTCACTAGTAATACCCCCGCTCTGATGTGAATATACGCTCTCAAGAATCACATCATATGACATGCCTAAACAAGAGTGCACTAAAATTTCAAGCATCTGCGATGAGTATTTGCTGAGAAAACTGTGATGGAAATTTGGTACGGACAGACACATGGATAAAAAGGAAGTTGATATCGGATTCTTAAAAAAATGAATCCCACCATAAGACATACCTAAACAAAGAGTATGCTATTAGTAGGTGCTAAGAAAACTGTGTGGAAAATTTGGTACAGACAGATGCACTGAGGGGCAGGACGTTGGCATCAGATTTGTACAAAAATGAATCCCACCATATGGCATGACTAGACAGAGAATGTGCTAAAATTTCAAGGATCAGCAATGAGTAGTAGCTGAGAAAACTGTGACAAAAATTTTCTACGGACAGATGCACAGAAAAGCAGGAATTTGACAAAAGATTTGTACAAAAAAAATCCCTCCATATTGCATACCTAGAAAAAGAGTGATAAAATTTCAAGCATCAGCATTGAGTAGTTGCTGAGAAAACTGTGACAAAAATTTGGTTCGGACAGACGCAAAGATAAACAGGAAGTTGACATCAGACTTGTACAAAAATAAATCCAACATATGGCATTCCTAGACAAAGAGTGTGCTAAAATTTCAAGCATCAGCGATGAGTAGTTGCTGAAAAACTGTGACTAAAATTTGTTACAGACAGACAGAAAGACACACAAGGATAAAAAAATATACCCCCTCTCCTTCGGAGCGGGGGTATATCTGGATTTTTTTACTGATAATATTTATAATATATATCTTGCATTAGTGCGAGTAAAGCTTAAGACATGACGTAATAAATAGATTAAATTGGTTCATAGTTCTTCATTTTCGAATTAATTTTCGAATGAATCTTTGTCTATTTCTTATGGAAATTATAACCATTTCTTAAAAGTGTCTATAAACAAAACGATAATAGACGAACATTAGAAGAATCTCTGAAGAATCAAACTTCTTTGTTTCTTTGCCTCAATTCTAATTTATTGGGTTGAAAATGAATTTCATTATCTATTAAGCTAGCTAATTAATGATGAAAATAAACAATGCTTTTTGAAAGAAAACATCCTGAAGAAAACTGTAGTAATAGGTTTTCCTACAGTGGCTTGTGTAGAATAAAAATGGGATTTGTTTTATTCATCAGTGGCCACCAACTTAAATTCGTAACATCGAAATAAAACTTTTGCCCATGAATTAAATTAGTTTATATATTTTGTAGATAAATATAGAATGGGTTCGATATTTGATCTGTTCTTTGTTGCTTAACCAACATACAGGACTACCAGTGGGGGAGCGGGTGCAGGAATACACCTTTTATCAAAAATAACATCAAAGACCAAATTAAACAAACAATACATTTTGCCAATGACAAAACAGTGTATATACTGTAGGAAAAAGAAACGCACGGTTAACATTTTAGGTGATTTCATGTTTTATTTTTGAATGATTTTTTCCCAATATGGTTATTTAACTTTTCAGTGCATCTTTAATCAACAAGTCAATCTAATCAACTAGTTACCAAGATCTCAACAGATTTTGAATGAGAAATCATGAGTAATAGAAAATCCTTTGACGGTAACCCCAAAGTTAAATTGAAAGACTCTTTATTATCTCCTATGCTCCTTCGCGCTTCCATCACAGCCTTGATTCTTCTGTTCAAGGAGTTCATCGGTGCATTTATCCTTCTCATGGGGATATTATACCACTCATCCAACAAGTCATCCGCTTCGTGATGTAGAGACCTTGCGCCGCATCAAACCTAAGACGTACACATTAGGCAGTGACTGTCTCTTAGCCAAGCAACTGACACTTGAAGTGAAAGTCATGGGTCTTTCGGATCAGAACTCCAAAACCGAGGTTCTGTGTCACTGTATGCATTAGAACGACAAAGTACTCTCACTGCTCAATGGCCTTGAGTGTCGAGTATATACAGTAATCAAAATATGAAGTCCTTCACCTGTTTATGGTGAAGTCTTTGTTTTATCTGCTCCACATTTGGATTGTTAAATGGATTTTTGAGCTTGATTACTGTTCTTTATCTTATTATTCATTATCTTCATTTATTATATACCTAACTGTTTTCACCCAGTTTTACTGTTGAATTTATGCAATCACGTGACGGTGTGATCCGACGTTCCGGATCACCACACTGTGGTTTTCTGAGTCCATATCACCCCTCTCTGAAACTGATGACGTAGTACACAGATAAATGACGTTTTTATTCTGGCGCATCAAAAAGTTCCTTGACAAAATGGTTTGTTTAATGGATAAAAATTATGTAATTGATCCAAAAAGTTTCCTTTTATTATATTTTGCTAGTTGTATAGGGGTATATAATAAATTTATCATTATAACAGTAACTTGATCCGAAGAGCCGTATCACGTCTCGTTGACAGGCGCGGATCATCAGATCAAACTCGACGCTTCGCGTCTCGTTTGATCTGATGATCCGCGCCTGTCAACTTGACGTGATACGGCTCTTCGGATCAAGTTACTGTTATAATAATATATATATCTCTCTATAGGAGTGTAAAATCCTAGAATGGGACGTGAAACAACAATCAATCATTGCAACAAGACAGTTGTTAGTTTTCCAGATTACAAAGGGCATCCAACACCTCTTACCATACTGTACAGAGACTCCCACAAATGTTCCTGTGGGGACAAATGAGAACTGTATGGAGGCTAGTCGAGTGTGTTAATGTGATTGTTTCAATTACGTCTTGACAAACTCTGGATACCGGGATCCGGGGGTTTTCATGCAGGAAAATATACTATCTGCACGATTAAGACGAAAACCAGGTAAAAATGACAAACTCGATATAGTCCAATTTTGAGGGAGCGTCGTTACGTGCAGACGCCCCCGTCGAGGTCGGTCGACTACCCTTCCAGTTTCTCTCAAATCATAGATGAGACGCCCTCAGAGAGAACTACACAACACGGATAAGGTTTTATGCATTACATATTTGATTTGTTGATTGGAAAAGACTCTTTAAATAAAATCCTCTTTTGCCTTTGTATAAATGTAGAGATTTTATTTATTGATTCGTAAATATTTTACTTATCATATGTCAAGGAGAAAAATTGATTGCAATGTATGGCAATCTGAAACGCGTAAAATTTGCAAGAAAGAACAGACCGACCTATATATACTTTACATACAATTTATGTATATTGATATAATTTGTGGTCATGAATTTTTCTCCTTGCTACGAATTCAATTTTCTTAGCCATGATTAATGGGTACCATCATATTTGACCTTTTGACCTTGGAGTTTAACCCACTTTTGCAAAATTTTATTAGACTTTAACCTTGGCCATAACTTTTCAACACTTGAAGCTTGGGCTTTCAATCTTCACAAGTGTATTTCTTGTGAGAAGGTATTTCTTTGAATACCAACATCTTTGACCTTTTGACCTTGACCTTGGAGTTTGACCTACTGTTCAAAAAAATTTAACCTTGGCTATAACATTTAAACATTTTGAGCTAGGTCTTTCAGACATTGCATGTGTACTTTTATTGACAAGACCTTTTTTTGCATACCAACAGCTTTGACCTTTTGACCTTGACCTTGGAGTTTGACCTTCTTCAATTTTGAAAAATTTTAAGCTTGGCCATAATTTTTGAACAGTTAGTGCTAGCGTTTTCATACTTCACATATGCTTTCCTTGTGACAAGACCTTTCTTAAGATACCAACAACTTTGACCTTTTGACCTTGACCTTGGAGTTTGACATGCTTTTGAAAAAAAAACTTTAACATTGGCCATAACTTTTGAACAGCTGGTGTTAGAGCTTTCATACTTCACATATGCATTCCTTTTGACAAGACCTTCCTTTAAATACCAACAACTCTGACCCTTTGACCTTGACCTTGAAGTTTGACCTACTTTTGAAAAGCTTTAGCCTTGGCCATAACTTTTGAACAGTTGATGTTAGGGCTTTCATACCATGTATATTCCTTTTGACAAGACCTTCCTTTGGATACCAACAATTTTGGCATTTACCTTGACCTTCGAGTTTGACCGACTTTTAAAAAATTTTAACATTGGCCATAACATTTGAACGTTTGGTTCTAGGGCTTTCACATTTTATGATCATATGTATCACTTGTGACAAGAACTTCCCTTGGGCACCATTTGACCTTGACCTTGCCTATTCCTCGAGACAAGACATTTCCGTGGGTACCAACATTTCTGATTTCTTGACCTGGGGTTTGCATTTAAGAAACTTTAACCTTCGCCATAAACTGCCACAGGGGGGCATCAGTGTTTCACAAACACATCTTGTTCATTTCTCTAGCGAGATGGATTTTGAGGTTCATATATTTGCAGTAATTAACTCTAAATTCAATTTCTCAAATTTAAAGTTACAAATTTGACTGCTTATATAGGCGATTTTAAGTGAACGCTCATACTATTGTTTACGTCGATGTCTTTGGATCTATGATCTTCTTTCATTATTTTTAAGTATAACATTCCTCACAATTCATCCAAACTGTTTTATCATCCCTCATCAAAGAATAAAAGCAGCATTTAGGACTTTTGACTATTAATTTGTAAATTCTACAATTTATTAACATACAATTGTAGAAGCTGTACAATCCTACTTTAGTACATGAATGGCATTATTCTCGTACTTACATTTCACGGACTTTCTTCCTATACACGTAGATAATAACCACTAGACAGATGCCTAGCAATATAAGAAATGCTATGACGATCACTGCTATCACAGGTCCATTATCCGCAGCTGTAACGAAAACAATAGAAATTTAAAGTCCAAAATCTGAAATAGCAAAGATCATCAGCTAGGCCTATACCTTTACTATAATTCATAAATTGCAGTGGCACATCACTTTAGGCCCCGAAGCCACGAACGTCTTAAGCCGAACTCAAGGGCTGTATATATTTTTCTTAAATCTAAGAATTTTTTTTCTCAAATCGCTGAGTTGAACTAAATAAAGTGTGCCACGAAACTTAAATCTTATACTCAATGAGAGATTTTTCTTGAATTTTTCTCAGAATATCTGAGATTGCTGACTAGCTGTCTCAGAAGTCAACTAAAGTCCAATATGGCTGCCAAGAGAGTGCTCCTTTGGAACATGATGAGGACTCCTAGACTAACTGTTCAATCCTTAGGAAGTTTCGTCTGAAGTTAAAAGATTTTTCAGCGATATCGCTTTAGATCCGCCATAATATTTTTCATGTGCGGGGTTGATCTCTGAAAACCTAAGCCACAAAACACAGAGAAGTTTTCCCTTGCCACCACTTTCTAAGTTCTTGTAGTTCTACTCTTCGATGCATGAGGTTCCTTCTACCGGCAGTGAACATCGAACTAATTGGCAACTCTTTCCATTTCCAAATCAGCTGTTCGTGCAAAGGAGTCTGACATTTTTATCGTAAAAAGTACCGGAAAAAATTTTCCAACCTCTATTGAAAAATATCAGGATGGCAACGAGTTTTGGGGGACCCACATAAAATATATATTTGGATTTAGCCCGAAAAGTTTCGCGACTAATTCAGCAGTCGGAGTGTGTGAGCTATATATTCAAATAAAAATTTCCAATCTGCCTGACGACTACGAGCCATGTCTGGCCTTTTTTCCACCTTGTCAGCTCATCTCTGACTCCATGCAACTCAACCGGAAGAGAATTATGCAGTGAATATTGGAGAAATCTATGGGTTTTTTTTCAACAAAAGAATCCATTACCAGGATGCTAAATCGAGCTGTTTGGACATCTTGGATCATTATTTTGCTTACTGGTCTTTTCGATCATTTAAATTTGGCGCCTTGTAAAAATATGGATTGCATATTGCACCCAAAAAAAAAAATAGTTTGTCTACTTTGATGGCTTGTGATGCAACGTTTTGTTTCGTAACTGAGAAGCAAAATGTCTGGAGGTGTACATGACTCCCGTGTTTTCAAATTAACGAACTCTCTCATGCCAGATTATTTGAGACTGGTATTCTGAAATATATACTTAAAAACGAGCTCATTGAATTAATCTCACAGTTTATTATTTTCTATTTTGTGAATAAATATCACGCATACCAATTTTTTTTTTATCAGGTGTCCGTACAGGACTTATACAAGTAGGAAATTCAGTTTATGCATTGAAAAAATATAACATGTGTATAGTTAATTCCTTACCTGGCTCTATCAAACAAAGCTGAGGAGAATAAATACATTGCTCTTTGTCGCAAAGGGTAACAGAAAAGAGCAGGCTTTTTTGTTATTGGATTTGGTTGTTTCTCCCCAATTTTTTCGCTTTGTTGGTTTCAGATATATTCTACATATAAACATTGTATGCATTTACGTGCCCCCCAGCGTCAAACCTTGAGTCTACAGCTTGTAATCAGGGTCCACCCTCCAAGGAATTTAGCATAGTTTCACTGCAGTTGCTGATATGGGGCCATTTGGGCTGATGTAACACATGGTTTTGGATTTTAGTATGTAATATTCTATATGTATTAAGTGTCTACATATCTAATATTACATTGTTTCTATGATTAAAACAAACTTCCGATCGAGTTTATTATTTTTTTTATTTTCCTTGATTTGATTGCATATTTCGTCGATTAATGTACAGGCTTTCGTAATGCAAGTATTTAAGTAAATTATGTACATGTAGTACCTTAATTCATTCCAACCTGTTAGAGAATGCAGGTTTTCAGCTCAATATGTTATATTTCATGCAACATAATTTTTACGCAAACTCCCATTTTCTTTTTAAAATCATAACGCTGTAATCCTCATCAATATTATCTTAATGACACACAATTTTCACCATTTATCAATACCAGTTCTTGAACTTTCTTATATACAAGATATCCACCTCGTAATAACTTATTATAGTTTTTTTTTTTTCATTTTTAAAACATATTGCTTTTGTCAAATGGACAGTAAGGAATACTCATTCCCTGCCCTCTTTCCATGCCTTTTCTTTCTCTCTCTCTTTTATTGTTGGCTAGACTAGACCTTTCAAAATTTTCAAAAATGTGTCGCTTCTTTTTCGACAATTTCTCCATGAGTATACGGACGACGTAACGTCATCAAAGAAAAATATGACGTCATTATCGGCCACTGCTATATGTGGCTGGGTTAGAAAGTGCACAATGGGAAGTATTTATATTTGCTGTGTTTTTCTACTAAGCCAACTGTGAAATTGATTTGAAAGTCATTTTTGTGTATACTCACGCGTAGAAATATACACGGTGAAACTCGCGCTAAAGTGACGTCACAATGAGGCTACAGAGACGTTAATAAAATGTAACGATATAGGACAGCAAGAAATTCAAATACTGAGTATATTATTGGTGCTTTCAAACTTGTAAAATGTAAATATAAGGAATGTTTTTAAGCTTAGTGTGAATTATTGGTGTGTAAATCACACAGACTTGCACGTAGGCATATTTTTCGTGAAGCGCTAGCGCGCTTCATGAAATATGCCTACGTGACAAGTCTGTGTGATTTACACACCAATAATTCACACAAAACTTAAAAACATTCCTTAAATAAGGGGTTATTTTTTCGATAGTATAATTCCTTATTGATAGCACGCATCAAGTTATAAATAAATAATTTTTAAAAAGATTTATATTATGTCCCAATCATTAATTGTTCTTATTGCATTTCTACATTTCAGCTTTTTGTCAATTTTAATCAGATTTTCCAATTAGCCATTTCACGATAACTGCAGTACTTACTACATGTACTCTTTTGCAGGCAAATTAATAACGTTTGGCTGAGTTTTTGCTGGCAGATAATTAAATGACGTATTTCAAACAATTGCTTTTACGTCATATTTCACCAAAATATATCATTTTGCCCTGCAAAATAACAGTACCGCAGTTATCGTGAAACAGTCAATTTCTTTTCACAAGAAGTGCCCCCCAGCATGGAAGTGTATAATGCATAAAAGCAACTCGACATGATCGCAATTTCCGAATAAATTAGGTAAATTTGGTACTGAAGTTTGTTTTGAACTTGCTACAGGTGAAAATGACAAAAGAATAATTTTTCAATACTTCACATTTATCGTGATATCCATCATCGCGCCTGCAGAAATCATCGGCATTAGCCCGTGACAAAGATCCAGGGTATTATGATCAGCACGTGGAAGGTTTGCAGTTATTTTACACTTTGCAACAACTTATTATCTTGTAATTTCATGTTAAGATGCAGAAAAGCATATATGCAACGGAAAGATGGAAAGAGAAAGGTGTTAAAGGTCTTCCTATTTTATGCATTGTGTTTAGGCCGCTTATAACATTAAAACAGTTTGAGTTTTACCTAGAAATTTGTTACTCTGATGAGTTGAGTTTACTAAACGTTCGTGGCAGACTTTTTTGAGTTGAAACTCAGCAAAGTAAAATAAAGTTTACTCTTCTCAGATTTGAGTAAAATTAAAAGTTCGTGGTTTCGGGGCAGGACCTTCGAAACACTTGGGCAAAAGTTTTTGGAAGTTAAGATCGGGTACCACATAATGTTATAAATATCAAATAGGGAACCTTAGCAAAATAATTATATCTTATGTAATGAGACTGTTATTACATTTAATATGAAGACTTTAATTTGTACAATTATTAGTATTTTTGTTTTCTGATAATTTTTACATTTGCAAAATATGTATAAAAATTATACATTAAGAAACCATTCCAAAAGTTTCAGCAATTAAGGTCTATTTACTATGTACATGTATGTTAGTTTTCCACACAAACAAGCATAAGGCCAACTTTAAAACAATGTTTGTCTGCCCTCTCCCGACTCAGGATGAAAAAAATGAGTCGTTAGGAAAGGGAGAATTTTTTTTTTTTTCAAAGAAAATGTCAAAATCAATGCTGAATTTTCAAAGTCTATTTTCCGGAATGCATAGAAAATTACTTCCTGCAGGTCAAAAAAAAAGTTTTGAGTCATATCTAGCCAGTCGGTCGGGAGAGGGCAACAAAACAATTTTTAAAGATGGCCTAACCATTATAATATTAAAATACTTACGACATTCCTCTGTACTGAATGCCTGTGATGAATATCTTATACCTTCTTGATCCTCACGGTCGCTCACAGCATATATCTAAAGAAAAGTGAGAACAGTGCTTTTCTACTTTCTGAATTTGTAAATAAGGTGAGAAAATGAAAACTATTCCAATAGTCTGTTGGAATTCCCATGGGTACCAATTACCAATTGTTAGTAGACCTTTTTGTATTCATATGAAGCAGAATTTATTCAAAATTTTATGCGTGAGAAAAAGAAATCTCTTGCTGTGGCCTTCAACTCGACATTAGCTATATCGACAACGTATTTTTTATTAACAATAGTTATTTCCATTCATAGGTCAACATGATATATCCCAGTGAGCTTGAAATAAAAGATACCAGAAAGTGTGACACATCTGTTCTTATTCGGATATTTTACTAGAAAAAGACGCTAATGGTAATCTAACCACAGAACAAAGCTTTATGATAAACGTGATAACTTTAACTTTTCAATTGTCAACTTCCCTTACTTATGCAGCAATATACCCTTGTCACCTGCATGTATGGGGTGTATATCTCTCAGCTGATACTAATTGTTAGGCCATTATTTTCACACTGAATCGTCGACAGATTTTTCCGTTATTTCCCGGTCATGACAAGGAGCACATGGCGGGTGTGACCGGTCGGCAGGGGATGCTCACTCCTCCATGGCACCTGATCCCACTTCTGATTTTTTGGAGGTCAGTGTTTGTTCTGCTCCCGATTTGTATTGTTTTAAAGGACTTTGAGTTTGAATAATGTTCGGTACCTCCATATTTCATTCACATCATAAACAATTTTTCATTCCTCATATATTTTCAAGAAGATTAATGATATCAAACTAACCGTTATAGAATACCGAGATTTTTCCCGTACTGTCAACAAAAATGAATACTCTCTGTTGGATCTGGACCAAAAATTTGGGTTAGGCACCGTGAACTGCCATTTTTCTCCCTGCAATTAAGTTTATTCCATGATCAATGCCTCATAGCTCTGTGATATTTATAACTATGCATTAAAAGATAACATAACAGTATTTACTGAAAAAACGTTACATTTATTTTAATAAATAAAATATATCTAGTTACAAAGACAAAAATTAACAGACGATCAGTCGATTTTAAGATTTATTTGAAACTTACGCCCAAAGAATTTTCAAATTCATATCCAGTTATTGGGCCATTTCGGGCCTCTACATTAGCTTCTTGCCAAGCAATCTGAACACTGTCACAACGCAAAATCTTTATTTTAAGATTCTGCGGTCTACCAAGTTCTGAAAATGATTGTTATATAGAATCTGTAATTTGTTTCAAAACTATTATTTGTATTTTGTAACCCTACTGGATAACCCTTGAAAAAGAATTTATTATTTATTGTTATTTCCTACCAGTTCAATTTCTCACTGAAAACGACATTCTGTAATGATGCGACTGTTTGATATATATATATATATATATATATATATATATATATATATATATATATATATATATATATATATATATATATATATATATATATAAGCACTAAAAATGACCAACGACACGAACAATAATAATTGTCAAATTTTCGGGACAACCTGTCCCTTCCTCAGGACAAAGAAAAAAGTTAAGAAGTCATAAAAACAAAGGAAATAGAGAAGCAAAAACAACTAGCACTACTACTAAACTACCAAACACTAAATATTTACAAGGTTACATGTTTAATTTGGAGTTTATAAACAGTTGTGAACAAAGAAATCCGGAGCGCTATGAATTGCGTCCGGTCTATCGGGTGTACTCGGTGAAGTGTGATTTACATAATTGAACGAATTAATTATCGCTAATTAATTACGGCCAACAGTAAATCGTACATTGTCTTATTCTCTCAAAATAGCGTAACTCTACATGATAAAAATAAATTAAAGAAAGATAATATGGAAGGACAATTTTGAAATATGAATTTGGATATATTATAAATTTGGAAATCGGAAAAAAGAAATAAACAAAAATGTGAGCTGTAAATATTTGGGTAGGTTGTTCCAGGATTATTAATACGAATTAACGGTAAAGTTTACGCTATATAGAGAGAATGAACTTGTTTGTTACAATTCGGGATTGGGTCTAGTTCACGTTCATCCTGGTGAAGTCATTAAGTTTGTTAATACCATTAGGGCGGAATGACTTCAGCCTGTGCATCCAGAACTTTTCCTTGCCTTTTCTCTGCGCGTCTGTCCATCTTGGATTATGGTCAATAACCACTACTGTCATGTCCTCCCATTTGTGACCTTCAAGGTTGAAATGTTCCCCAACGGGTTCATTGAGTTTTTTGGTCCTAATGGTAGAACGGTGATTATTGACTCTCCTGCGGAGATCTCCTGTTTCACCAACATACTGTTTGGAGCAAACTTTGCAGCTGATGAGATAAATGCAGTTGTCTGTTTGACAGGACAAATTCCCTAGTATTTTGTAGCTGCGGCCTGTAACGGGGCTGTTAAAACTGTCTGTGTCAGAGCTGTACTTACAGAGAAGACATCTTCTGTCAGAGCAAGTTTTAAAGCCCCCGTTAGGTAATGGATTGTCCAATCTGGTTCTTACTACCATGTCCTTCAGGTTCCTCGGGCGCCTGTATGCAGCCAATGGGGGCTCCTTAAAGACCTCTGCCATTCGTTTATTTGAGTGGAGAATTGGCAGATTCTTTTGAAGGATACCGCTGAGGTTCTTAAGGACGGGATGGTATGTGGTTACCAGAGGGACCCTGCCGCTATTGTCTTTTTCCTTGTAGCGTAATAGGTTTTGCCTGTCATGTCCCGCCATCTCATCAATAGCAGTTTGTACGGTGCGGGCATTGTAGCCTCTCTTGCATAAGTGGGACTTAAGGAGACCGCTTTGTTCTTGATATAAGGCAGGGGATGAACAGATGCGCCGAATTCTGGTGGCTAGACCCTTAGGCACACCCTTAAATGTGTGTGGGGGATGACAGCTAGTTGGCATAAGATACAGATGGGAATCTGTGGGTTTCGTGTGGAGACTGAACTCGATTTCACCATCAGTCAGGGTAGATGTAGTATCTAGGAATATGTTTTTCGAATTAGATACGTCTACTGTAAATTTGATAGACTGATGAAAGGTGTTGGCGAACGAAATGAATGCCTCGAGGCTCTCGCGACATTCCACCCACTTCATCTCTATATCGTCAATGAAACGCAACCAGCTAAGGGGCCTAAATGGTGCTTGAAAGAGCAAGTTGCGTTCCAGTCTGCCCATGAAAATATTGGCATAAGATGGTGCCATTTTCGTACCCATAGCAGTGCCATTAACCTGCAGGTAATGTTCTCCATTAAACATGAAGTTGTTATACTTGAGAACATGTTCAAGGAGCTTGGCAAGGGACTCGGTAGAAGGAATTTGTATGGATCTACTATCCCAGACTTCTCTACAGGCTTCGATACCCTCATCGTGCGGAATATTGGTGTACAAAGATGTGACGTCCATAGTCACGAGAAGGGTATGATCTGGAAGGCCAGTAGAGGGCGTCTTGTTGATGTAGTCCGTGGTGTCCTTGAGATAGGATGGCAAATTCTCTACGTGTGGACGGAGATGTAAATCGATGTATTCAGAAATTTTCTCCGTGGGGTGTCCAATAGCGCTAACTATAGGGCGACCTGGCATACCTTCTTTGTGTATCTTAGGAAGCAGATAAAATTGTCCTGGTCTACAGTCAATAGGATTGAGTGTCTCATAGACGTTGATACCAATCTCGTTTTTCTCAAACATTTCGTCAAGAGTTTTGGTGATGGCGGTGGAGAATTCTTTAGTGGGGTCAGAGTCCAGTTTCTTATAGAAACGTTCGTCTGAGAGTTGTCTATGGGCCTCCGCCATGTACGTCTCTTTGTCAAGCACTACTACTGTAGAGCCTTTGTCTGCTTTCTTGATTACAATGTCATCCCGATTCTTTAATGATTGTAAGGCGGATCTCTCTTCCTTACTCAAATTGTCGGGAGCCTTGTCTGGCATTGAAAGGAGTTTCTCTATGTCTGACTCCACGGCGTCAATATACGACTCAAGGGCTCCGCATTTGCCCGGTGCAGGTTCCCAGTCACTTTTTGGCCGATAGAGTTTGTGTTCCTCTAGCTCGTGCAATTGTGGCTGAGAAGAGTCATATGAGTCAACTTCGGAGTTTTTTCTAGAAAAATGCTCCTTCAACCGAAGTCTCCGAAAGAAAGCTCGGGTGTCCTCTCTGACTTGTTTTTCGTCGACCTCATGTGGCGTGGGACAGAAATTTAGCCCCTTGGAAAGAAGTGAGGTCTCCGATTCGGAGAGAGGAACACTAGATCTATTGAGCACTGGGCAGACGTCAGGAGTTTGTGAGGGTCCGTCCCTCGCGATTGTCGTTAAGCGCTTGAAGCGTCTCGAGCGGGGTTTACGTGTTTTGTTAACTCGGACCTCTGATCGGTTGTTCCTGGTCTGTGGAACACTGTCTCGGAGAAATTTCTTTCTTTGAGTCTTGTTGAGTTCATTTGTTAGGGCCATATTATAGGTGTCAATAATATTATGGGCTTCATCAAGATCAGCTTGGGACATGCTATCAGTGAGGGATGATTCTAAGGAAGTGATATCACTCTCAAATTGTCCTAACTTGTGGATATCCCAAGAAAGACAGAGTGACATCAATTGTTTAGAACACCTCTTTGTAATATCTTCCCAACGTTCTTGAAAGCGTTTGGAGATCGGCCCTATGTTAGGCGTGAGATGAAGTGGGTGGAATGTCGCGAGAGCCTCGAGGCATTCATTTCGTTCGCCAACACCTTTCATCAGTCTATCAAATTTACAGTAGACGTATCTAATTCGAAAAACATATTCCTAGATACTACATCTACCCTGACTGATGGTGAAATCGAGTTCAGTCTCCACACGAAACCCACAGATTCCCATCTGTATCTTATGCCAACTAGCTGTCATCCCCCACACACATTTAAGGGTGTGCCTAAGGGTCTAGCCACCAGAATTCGACGCATCTGTTCATCCCCTGCCTTATATCAAGAACAAAGCGGTCTCCTTAAGTCCCACTTATGCAAGAGAGGCTACAATGCCCGCACCGTACAAACTGCTATTGATGAGATGGCGGGACATGACAGGCAAAACCTATTACGCTACAAGGAAAAAGACAATAGCGGCAGGGTCCCTCTGGTAACCACATACCATCCCGTCCTTAAGAACCTCAGCGGTATCCTTCAAAAGAATCTGCCAATTCTCCACTCAAATAAACGAATGGCAGAGGTCTTTAAGGAGCCCCCATTGGCTGCATACAGGCGCCCGAGGAACCTGAAGGACATGGTAGTAAGAACCAGATTGGACAATCCATTACCTAACGGGGGCTTTAAAACTTGCTCTGACAGAAGATGTCTTCTCTGTAAGTACAGCTCTGACACAGACAGTTTTAACAGCCCCGTTACAGGCCGCAGCTACAAAATACTAGGGAATTTGTCCTGTCAAACAGACAACTGCATTTATCTCATCAGCTGCAAAGTTTGCTCCAAACAGTATGTTGGTGAAACAGGAGATCTCCGCAGGAGAGTCAATAATCACCGTTCTACCATTAGGACCAAAAAACTCAATGAACCCGTTGGGGAACATTTCAACCTTGAAGGTCACAAATGGGAGGACATGACAGTAGTGGTTATTGACCATAATCCAAGATGGACAGACGCGCAGAGAAAAGGCAAGGAAAAGTTCTGGATGCACAGGCTGAAGTCATTCCGCCCTAATGGTATTAACAAACTTAATGACTTCACCAGGATGAACGTGAACTAGACCCAATCCCGAATTGTAACAAACAAGTTCATTCTCTCTATATAGCGTAAACTTTACCGTTAATTCGTATTAATAATCCTGGAACAACCTACCCAAATATTTACAGCTCACATTTTTGTTTATTTCTTTTTTCCGATTTCCAAATTTATAATATATCCAAATTCATATTTCAAAATTATCCTTCCATATTATCTTTCTTTAATTTATTTTTATCATGTAGAGTTACGCTATTTTGAGAGAATAAGACAATGTACGATTTACTGTTGGCCGTAATTAATTAGCGATAATTAATTCGTTCAATTATGTAAATCACACTTCACCGAGTACACCCGATAGACCGGACGCAATTCATAGCGCTCCGGATTTCTTTGTTCACAACTGTTTATAAACTCCAAATTAAACATGTAACCTTGTAAATATTTAGTGTTTGGTAGTTTAGTAGTAGTGCTAGTTGTTTTTGCTTCTCTATTTCCTTTGTTTTTATGACTTCTTAACTTTTTTCTTTGTCCTGAGGAAGGGACAGGTTGTCCCGAAAATTTGACAATTATTATTGTTCGTGTCGTTGGTCATTTTTAGTGCTTTATATAAATTTCCATCCGTGACCTTGTATCTACTTAGTAGATCCGACACTTCGGATATACAGTGTTGTTGGTTTTTAGTGCTTATATATATATATATATATATATATATATATATATATATATATATATATATATATATATATATATATCAAACACTCGAATCATTACAAAATGTCGTATATATATTAGGGATGGCAATCGAATACAGAATTGCTAATCGGTTAACTGCAAAACGTTCTGATCGATTAAACGGTTAATCGTATCAAACTACACATTTTCTTGAATTTATTTCACGTGCTCTATCCCTATGCACTATAAGTTTTAAAGTAGATGTAAGAGGTCAAAAACATTCTATCTGTCTTTATTCGTGATCAGAATACTACATGCATATAATTTTTATTTCAACGGACAAGAAAAAAATTCAGAAAACCATGAAACATGCCCGATATATCGTGGGTAATTTTCCAGAGCGGATGTCAGACAAGTTCATTCGGTTTGTTCCCGTTTTGCACACATTTGAATTTTATAGGTATTGAAAAAATGTGTGCAAAACGGGAATTTGTCCAAGTAAGATAATTACTTAATTGCTATAGCCTATACCATACATATGCATGTAGTTGTGAATTAGGAGAAAGAGAATCTACGGAAAGAATAGGAAGAAAAATGATTAAATTTTGCATTTGATATTTTGATTTATATTTGTAATTTCATAATAGGAAAAAAAAACTATGTTAAAACATTAAAAATATCAAAATATCAAAAATTACTAGTTAAATCTATAATTATATTCATATGATATCTCTTTTTCTGTGCTTATTAATCAAGATTGAATTCATTTACTCATTCATTATATCTTCATGAAATTAAAAAAAAAACAGGTTGAACTGCGATACACATGTAACGATATCTGTCTAAATTATCAACTTCATCTTCATTTGGGTTGAACAAATTAAATTTTAAAGATTATTCTTTTAAATATATATTACATGTATAATACATTGGTAAAATACAGGTAATTCCAGGTAAATCTCAGTTAGAGATCAGACTATAATTGTTGTCAAAACATATTTCACACCTATTGTTCTATATCTAATTATCAAATGTGTGCAAAACGGGAACACACCGTTCATTCTTCATTGTCACCATAATTAAAACTAAGTCTACACTGTATCACTTAATTTACAATGTTTGTTTCATAATTTAATTTGATAGATCTATAACTGAAAAAGATAAACATACCAATTTACCAACGGTGATTATTATCATTAAAGAATTACAGGACAGTCGTGGGTAAAGACATGTTTTAACAGTAATTAACACATCTCAGACTGACCTATCACCCCAAAATTTTAATCTGGTTAGCCATAATTACCTCCCAATCAGCCTAATAAATATATGAAAACGCTAAATTATTAACGTTTAAGTAGGAATTTCTTTTTTAGAATTGAATTTTAAGAAGACTGCCTTAAAAATTTATATATATTTTAATTAATTTTTTTTGACTAACCGATTACAGATTTTCTATCTGATTGCCATCTATCATGTTGTAAATTTTGAATTTACTGGGGGGGGGGGGGGGGGGTAAATGCAAAATTAACAACATGATAACAGTTATCATGTTGTAAATTTTGCATTTACCTCCCCCTAGTAAATTCAAAATTTACAACATGATACATCGTTCCGACCAAGTAATCGGTTAACCGGTTTGTTAGAAATTGTCATCAATAATATATATATATATATATATATATATATATATATATATATATATATATATATATATATATATATATATATATATATATTAATTACAGGAGATTTTTTCTCTTTACATGAATAATAATTTATCAGCTAAGGAGACATAGCGAGTTAAAAATCAGAAGATATTTTTTGATGATATTTATATCATTAATCCAAAACATTATATTAATAATATGAAGAAAACAGTTTTGAAAAAAATTAAGCTGCTGTTTAATGGAAGCTAAGAGTGCAGTATAATTGCCAGGAGAGAAAAAGACAAAAGTTGTATCTTCTGCATCTTTGTTTTTGTCTGTGTTAGCGTCACTGAATTTTATTTATGGTGAAAAAATCGTGAACAACATTGAATCGGAGTACGCAAAATGTATGAATATTTTTTGATAATCTTTCAAAGACTCTGTCAAAGTTTAAAGTCTAACCAGGGTTACTTGATTATGTTTCCTGCGCACTTTTGCAGTGAAGAAATATTTTCGTATTGGGCCAAACAATAATAATTTTTCGTCATAAAAGTGCAGTAGATAATTTAGGTTCTGAGACATATAATTTTATGAAAGCTAGTGACGAATAAGTAAAATATTATTGTTACTTTAATCTCTCTATAACAGAAGTATGAATGAAGATGATTCTATGCATAAGAAATACGGCTCGTTTCAAATTAATGTCTAAAAATCAATGAAGAGCTTGTTTTGAAGTTCTTTAACCACATCTACGTTTGCTTTTCACATAAAAGGACAGTTGCATTCAAGCTCTCCTCTCTCTAATAGTACTCTCATTGAAAATATTAACTTATCGGGTTAAGTATTTTCCAAAATGTGATTTATGAAAAAAAATAACGCTCTCTAACGTAATAAATAATGGAACAACACGAACAGCTTGCATTTCTCAAAGCTTTGATTCTACCTTCTATTTAAATTGTCATTTCAAGATAACACAAATATTCTACTCATACTAAGTATATTAATTCCCTTTAAATGCTTTACTTCACATTTTTCCTCTCTTATCAATGTTGCAGAACTTCAAGCTCTCCTCCCTCTCAGAATACTCCCATATATAATGCAAAGAAATTTACACAAGACCATGTTAATGTTGTTTAACAAGTCAAAAACTGTTTGATACAAATATTCGTGAGTGATTATAACTCTTTCATGTATATGTGAATTTCTTGAAATATACTGTAAATTATAAATTTGTAATTTCATTTAAGAATTTTTACATGCAGTGTGCGAAAGGTGAATACTTTGGAAACAAGACGTTGCTCTTAATCGTATACTAATACGTTTTTACTTATTTACTTACGTCCACGTGGAGGAGTTAGGAAGGAAAGTGATGAACCGCGTTTTGACTCTCCCGCTGAAGTTTTTGGTGTAATTGTGACACTGTAGTTGTAGTTATGGTAAAGTTGATTCCTAATCGCATATTCCGGCTGATAATATGGAACTAAATGTATTTAAAAAAAGAATTATCATAAAACCTGAAGTCATAAATGGTTATAATGCAGAGTTTTCAGATCAAACTCAAAAAAATAATAATATTGAAAGTATATTACCTTTGAGGTTTGACTTCTGCTCTAGTGTTAGACCTTTAATTTCATCTCTAAGTACTACAGAATACTCCAAGTCTTCTCCAGGGAATTCTGGAGGACTCCAGGTAATATTAAATACGCTGTTATCATAAGGGTAACTGACAACAATGGAACGATCATCTACAACTTCCGGTACTAAAAGATATAAACATGTATATAATTAAGGAGATTTTGATTCATTTGTAATCATATAGATAAGTCTCTGAGAAATTTATATGCTTTTGCTACAGTCAAATATCATGAACTATATGACTAAAACCTTTTATTCTATAACTGAATAATTCCTAGCTATTTAATAGTCTGACATTCTACATTGTAGAAATCAAACTTAGCTATGTTCACCTGCAGGAGACTTTCCAAGTAAATACAAGTTAATTTATTTGCATCCACCTTTCAGATGAACATAATATTAAATTCATTTTTTTTCTAAATTGCAATCGATTGCCAATCTTATTTGTGTTCCTTCAGTATTCCTCTAATATCCAATACCCATTTATTATATATGCACGAAAGTCCATTTGTGCCAATCTGTATATATATAATATATAAAGGAAAATCTATATGTATACGGCAAACCTCAGTATATAATGGATATCGGAATGTTAAAACAAAACCTCGAAATATATAAAGGAAATGCGAAATATGAAAAAACAAACCTCGACATATATAAAATATGTGAGAAATATAAAAAACCTCGAGATAAATATATATATATATAAACGGAAATGCGAAATATATACTGATATTGACCTAAGGAATGTTTAAACTGGCTACAGAAAAATAAAATGCATTCAGAGTACTTGTTTTTTAATGCCCAAAAAGATTCAGAGAGATGAAATATGCACAGTTAGTGTCGATTTGTAGTCAGGGTGTCAAAAGTCAGTCACGTCGAAAAGTGACGTTGATCATGTGTGGTAGAAATTGAACTCCAACAAGCTAAGTATTCTGGCATAATCAAGTGAGGATCTTTCCCCATATAAAGATCCATTTACAATATTATATGCATTGAAAACAGCTGCTCATGACATTGTAAATTCATATAAATAAGACGGGTTTAAGTCCTTACTTAACTCCAGGTAATCTCATCAAGATAAGTGTTTGAGGTAGAGAGAGCGGACATTAAGAAACAATAACGTTCAGCGGACGTTGACACAAAACGGCGACAGCGCCGGGTGATCACATAAAGTCTTTTTAATTTTAGAATAATTTGGCAAATTATCAACGTATCAAGCTAAAATTTTCAACATTTCTTAAACTTTTGTTGTTTTATGTTCCGCTTAAATTTTGTAAGCAAAGACTATATATTATTAATTTTATCGCGTCAGTCCTCGAACTTTTTGATAACCCCTCGTATATATATATATAAACGGAAATGCGAAATATATAAAGAGAAAAATTTCCATCGCGTGCCCTTTAATGACCTTCATTACATCAGTGGTTCACCAACATCAGAAACAGATAAGCGGCTCTCCTCGATCGTTCATACTGTTTGAGTGCAAACGGTTGATATGGCACAGATTCAGAATGATATTCAGTGTATTGTCAGTAGGTTTTTTTTATTTGTGTGTCTTGATATGATGATTAAAAGCTATTCTCTATAACCACTTAAACATCTTTGCCACGCATGGTCACCGATTTTAATGAAACTTTGCCCATTATTACAACTTGACACCAGAAACATATATCAAATAAAATTTGGTTGCTATGTGTGTTGGCTGCCATGGTAACAGCCAGAAAAGTTTGAAAAAATGATATTTCAGCTACTTTGAATCTTTACTGAGCCCTAATCAAGGCTAAGAAACACAAACAAACCATTCTCACAAAAACAAGAAACCTTGTTGCCACTTATGCTACAAAGAAAATATTTAGAATATATCTCTAAGTAAATGGTAACCATAGGTATATTTGGAATACATTTGAGATGGAGAGAAATGCTGAAAAATAGTCAATATTCACTAATGATAGGTGTAACATGATCAAACGCGATTAGAAACTCAAGAAAAACTATAAAAATATTTGACCTTAAGCAATTAGGTATTGACAATATTTTTCTAAAAATAACTTTCATGGTTGCCATGGTAACACACTCTAGCCATACAAAATTTGTTGCTAAGTTTTGGTTAATGCTACTATCCTAAGGAAAAACATGGGAATTCAAGACTGTCAAATATGTACATCGTTAGGACCTAATAACACAGACAACATAAGGAAAATTGGGTTTAATTGCTACTTTGCAGAGTAACCATGGAAACAACGTACCAGTGGTTTAAAGTGATATTTTTGTAGCTTTAGGAATTTAGTTACCTTTTAACCAAGAAACATATTATTTGACTTATCTTGAATAGTACTTATCTGATAGAATTAAAGTTGAATATCATATATTGCTGAAGTATGATGAAGAAAATAACACTGTTACTTTGGTTACCAAGAAGGGAAAATGTTCGATTTTGCTCACTTTACAGCAATATTAAACTCCATTTGGTAGCTTCTTGCATCCAGTTAGAGATTGTGTGGTAGTCGAAATTGAAATTCATAAATATCAATCATAAAAGTTTTTGGAATCTACATACAAGATGACGTATCCAAGGAAACAAAATATTTTTCAGCTTTTTATAGATTCATTTGTATTTTTTCTGCTTATTTCCATAGCAATGCTCTATTCAAAGAATTTAAATTGATTTTTTTTTGAAATGTGAAAATTAGGACAACACCAATACCTTTAAAAATGATCACCAGTTATATCGAAATCTGTTTTTTAAAAAGAAAGGATCAGATTAAACCATACAGAGGATAAATTTTAATACCCTTTGCGGTATCAAAACCATGCCGACCATTGCCAACTAATAAGAAATATCACATTTCGTCTTTGGTATGTGTTACAAAGATCCTTGTCTACCATTTGGTTGCATTTCAAACTATTTTTTTTGCTATTTTTGAGTGTATGACTTAAAATAAATTAATGAATAAAGCTATTACTTTTGAATACTTTGTTTCCATAGAAATGTATATAATCGTTGATTTCCCAAATATGTTTATCATGCATATAAGACACCAGACCTTCAACTTTTGGAAACAGTCATTGCCTGTTGTTTGCACTGCTGCAAACGTTAACTATAAGATTCTGAACATGTTGAAAAATGCCATTTTTTCAAATTTAATGGTATGTTGCCATGGTAACCATGACCCGTAGCAACCAATTTTTGCCTGATTTGAGATAACGGTATCAAAGGCTTTCATCATAAAGAGTTTGGAGAAATTCTGAGACTTTGCGTGCCACAGCTCCTACATAAAATTCCAAGTCATTATATAGAATTTCTCTCAAAATCAAAGCAAAAACTGCTATTCTTATTACATATTAATCGTGTGGGGCAGGTTTTTACTTTTACATTTTCACGGGATCGCGGTTCATCTTAAGGACCGGTCTCCACGTTCCGCAGTGGAATTCGAACCCGCAACGTAAGGATCAGCTCCTTACTCCGCGACTTTAGGCAGACGCTCTAACCACTGCGCCACGCGGGCGACGTTATAAGCGAATTCAAGTGCCATACTTTACAACTAGTATTGTTTAACTACAACTTTTGACTTGCTTCAATGAACAAAAAGGTAAATATTGATTTTCGAAATTCTGTTACTGATTACAGACAGAAAAATCAATTCAAATTCAAAGGGCCATTGAGCAGTGAGGGATCTTTGTCGTGCCAACGCCTACTGCCACATGGGACCTCGGTTCGTACGGTCTCACCAGAAGGACCGGTCTCCACGTCCCTCAGTGGGATTTGAACCCGCGACGTAAGGATCAACTCCTTACTCAGCGACTCTAGAGTAGACGCTCTTACCACTGCGCCACGCGGGCGAAAAGAAGTAAATGAATTGCCGACAGTAGTCGTGGCTACGTAAACCTGTAATTGATGACTTCACGGCACGTAGGAAAATCAAGCTACGTAGCTTTAAATATGATGTTAACAAAAATTGAACCCGATTACACACAACTCATTACAATTTACACTTCGAAAAGTAAAACACTGTATGTTATATTTTACTATCCCCTCGTTCAGTTTTATTTATGTGATTGGAATATGAGAGGATCAAACAATAGATGAATAAATTAAAAATATACATATATCAAGGCAACATTTGATCCCGCTGCAAATTACGTCACTTTCGTAAACTTACCCATCAACAAACACAATTGCGTTACTATATCCCTCCAACTCTGTTGCGAGGGGATAAAAAAACTTACCTTTACTCAGAGTTTTCACAGTTATTTCAACTGGATCTTCCCCGGGGCCGACTGTTGTATATCCTATCACAATGATTGTGTATGTGGTTCCAAGCCTGAGATTCATTACCTCTAAGGACATTTCTCTTTGGTTTACCTCAAGACTAGTGTCGTTTTGTATACGACAAGTGTTATTTGGAGAACCTAGAAGTGTCTACAATAAGATAACGTTAAATTGTTAAAAAACAAACTAGGTACAACTTTTTCACAAATTTTAACCCCTTTATATGAATTTTAAATTTCTACGCTAAGTAAAGACAGCGAAACAAAACTCATGCATTTCATTTAGGACTATGTATCATTAGTCGAAAATTTTATTCAAAATATAAATATAGTAAAGATTTGACAAATTAAGCTGTACTCTAATGCAAGCTTTGTGCGATATATCAACGAGAACAAGAGGCCCAGTGGCCACATCGCTCACCTGAGAACTTTGATTAGGAAAAAGCAGAAAACAGTTCAGTATTGGAAAGTTTAAATATAAAAGTGGTTTGGAAAGGGAGGGGGAGTATGATTTGAATAAACTTGAATCTATACTTCCTGAGGATGCTTTTAAATTGATATGATACATAATGACTTTGCTGTTCTAAAGATGAAAATTTTTATTGATATATCCTTTATATTCCTTTGTATAAATATGTTCCCCAGTTATGGCCCCTCTATTCTCCTGGTGGTCATAATTTGAACAAATTTAAATCTACATTACCTGACGATGCTTTTATATTATTATGACTAATCATGATTTTGCTCTTCCTGTGAAAAATTTTAAAGATTTTTCCAATGTATTCCTATGTAAAAATTTGATCACCTATTGTGGCCCCAGTCTACCCTCGGGGGGTCATGATTTGTACAAACTTGAAGCTACACTACCTGAGGATGCTTTCATATAAATACATCTAATTATAGCTTTGCTGTTCTTGAAAAGAAGATTTTTGAAAGATTTGCCCTATGTATTCCTATGTAAACTTTGATCCTCCATTGTGCCCCTACCCTACCCCTGGGGGTCATGATTTAAACAAACTTGAATCTACACTACCTGAGATGCCTCCATATAAATATGACCAATCACAGCTTTGCTGTTCTCGAGAAGATTTTTGAAGATTTTTCTTATGTTTTCCTGTGTAAAACTTTGATCCCCTATTGTGGTCTCACCCTACCCTCGGGGGGTCATGATTTTTACAAACTTGAATCTACACTACCTGAGGATGCTTCCTTATAAATATGACCAATCATGACTCTGCTGTTCTTGAGAAAAAGATTTTTAATTATTTTCTATGTACTAGTATTCCTATGTAAAACTTTGATCTCCCATTGTGGCTCCACCCTACCCCCGGAGGTCATGATTTGTTCAAACTTGAATCTATACTACCTGAGGATGCTTCCATATATATATATATATATATATATATATATATATATATATATATATATATATATATATATATATATATAACCAATCATGGCTTTGCTGTTCTTGAGAAGAAGATTTTTAAAAGATGTTATTAATTTTTCATTAATTTGTAATTATCTCCCCTTGGAAGAGGGAATGGCCCTTCATTTTAACAAACTTAAATCCCTTCACCCAGCGGTTCTTGAGAAGAAGTCGAAAATGTGAAAGGTTTACCGACAGACTGACACTGGACAAAATGTGATCAGAAAAGCTCACTTGAGCCTTCGGCTAATAGTTTTTCTCACAAATAATTCAACCAGAGAGCCAAAAGACATTCAGTTATAACGGACTAAATGACGTTGACCTGCAAGTTTCATCACGACTTATCTATGATCCTATTAACTAGAAAATTTGCACATCTGTTTTATTTGTTCTTGAAAAAATTAATGTTTTAAAATTTTCATGAATTGACATCTTTTCTCTTTGGCGTAAAAGTAAATGTCTTAATAATTTCCGAATAGTCCTCGTAAAAGTATTTTCATCTATAACGTTCGTAAAATATTGTTTATTTTTTTAATTTATTCTACATATACTAATTTTACTAAATCATGGTCTGTATTGTATTGGTCATCGTTCAGAAATTGTAGCAATTGTCTACAAACTTTGTGGACAACCCTGGTACATAATGTTCGATGAGGCTGTAAATTTCTGATTTTTTTTTATACCTTGACAGTTTTCTGCATTGTTGGACAACTAAAGTTTATGATCACTGAAAAGGGTTTCTAGTAATATTCATTTAGCAAGGATAGAGAATCCAAATTCTTGCAATTGATTAGTTTCACTTTTTATATAACATGTATATATTATGTCATTCAAAATTATTCAGAAAGATTCTTGTTTTGTCGGTTAACCCCTTTTGACAAGTGTACATATAAAAGTGCAAATGTTACATTACTTTGAGTAATCAAAATATTTTTGTATTTCTTATATTATATGTCACATAGAAATACCACAGATGTATATCTTAGTGAATGCAAAATGTTAACTCTTTATGAAATGTAGTTACTCACATTATTACATATGTCAACACAGAAATAGTATATCCGACATTGTGTTATATCGGGACCCTCTTTAAGTACAGCTCTATATGCAACCATGTCTCCATTTGGCATGAGTGGTCTACCCCAGCGAATAAAACTGCTAGTTGTGGTCTGGTTATATACTGCAGGTTGTAAGTCATTAACTTTTCCTGGCACTGAAAAATAAATTCCAAATTTCATCAAGATTTGACAATCAATTCAATATTAATTTTCACAATATTTGTATTATACTGTAATTGTGAACTAGTTCAGGAAATGTGAAATTGTTTATATTCAAGACATGAATGTATATAATTTTAAATTATTTATGTAATTCTTTAAAAATATTTATTTGAATTAATAAATCAGAAATAATTCAATTCTGAACATATACCTTTTTGTACATGTGTATATGCAAATTTCTTCTAAAATAAGATATCTATTTTTTATTTTAATGTTAAACACATATCAATCATTGAAGAATCCGTATTTTTTAATTGTAGTGATAACAGCTCGTATAAGAAGCATGGTTCTTTGATTCATTAATCTTCGTTACATGAAACATATACATGTAGTTGCAGATGCATTAACTTATTTTTACTGTTAGTCATTATATAAATGTCAGATAGTTATAATATCAATAATTCTTACTTACCGCCAGGAAGAGTTTCTATTCCGGTGACATCGGTACTGTAAGAACTGTTAAAACGGTCATTTACTGTGAAAACAGATATGTTGTACTCGACACCTGAACAAAGGAAACATTGAAAATATCTAATTAATATATCAAAGAAGGTTTGTGATGGTTTACAAAAACTTCATTAAACTATGCACCATAACCAAAGATATTGATTTCAGTAACAGCAAAACATTTAGCATTGTCCATTGTACCAAAATATTAGATGATGAAACTGTCATCGGCATGTTATTCTTAAAGTAAAATTTACGATAATTAGAATAAAATACTAGTCTTTGAATGAGTATAGATTTAAGAGAGAAAGGTAAGAGAGCAATATAAGTAATATTTATAGAAATATTTGAATCCGTACATCCTGTCTTTTCAGAAAATTGTATAAAACTGTAAGGCGAATATTAAGTTATTTCATTTAACCATCAATCACTTGCTTAGTTTCTAAAACAGCCAATTCTTTCAGGCATTACGTCTGGTGTATATATAAAGGCTTTCAGTGTTTTCCAGTTAATTGAACAGTTTAAGAGATCCTCAATTATGTTAAATGCCTTTGATGTTTTACAAACTTCTTCTCACTCTTACATGACTTTTTGCTTCAACACTAGAAGACACTAGTACACTAGACACTAGTACACTAGACACTAGTACACTAGACACTAGTACACGAGACATTAGTACACTAGACACTAGTACACTAGACATTAGTACACTAGACACTAGTACACGAGACATTAGTACACTAGACACTAGTACACTAGACATTAGTACACTAGACACTAGTACACTAGACACTAGTACACTAGACACTAGTACACTAGACACTAGTACACTAGACACTAGTACACGAGACATTAGTACACTAGACACTAGTACACTAGACACTAGTACACTAGAGGAAGAGATGCATCAGCTTGTTGGTTTCGTTTTGTTGGGAATCGCCATTCTTTAGTATTGATGGTACCAAACGGTATAACCAAGTTTGTACAAATTGGAGTTCACTAGTATAACCAAATTAAAACAAGCGGTTCAGGGACCTTAACGGTCAACTAAGTACATAAAAAACAACCCTGTAAAGAATCCATGGTAATTAAATACATGTATACAATAATACAAAATAAACTCTACGAAAAAGGATGACCAGGGCTCAACACATTAGTTAGTCTGGTAATCAGAAAAATCTCAGAAATTTGCCTGTATTTTGTCAGTGCTATCTACATTCCATCACTATCACCAAACATTACAATAGTGCTTAGGTATAAAACACAATGTTCCCAGAGTACACCCCCTGAACATTGGCCTCTCATTTTCGTTGAATTATATATATATATATATATATATATATATATATATATATATATATATATATATATATATATATATATATATATATATACGAGGGTTGTCCCAAAATTCCGTAGACAAGCGTAGTTTTGTAGGAACCCGGTGTCATAAATCAATGAAAGTTTGTACATATATAAAACTGATAATATCTAATACATTTATGGGCAAAAATTGAGAAATTATACATTTAAACAGTGTCTTATGTAAGAAGGCGGCGCAGTACCCAAAAATTGCAATTTAAAATCGGTATGTGATATTTAGAATTTTAAGAAAAAGTATTTAATACTCAGAATTTCGAAAAAAGAAATTAATATTATTCAAATTGCAATGTAAACTACCTTTCTTCCAATTTTATTGTATATTCCTTGATTAATATGAACTTTATAACGTTTTATATGCACCAATTTGAAATCTGACCAGCTGAAAAATGGCGCCTGTGTCGACACAGGCGGCGCACTGGACTGTGATCAAATGTTCTGAACTTTAATTCACTCTTACAGAAACGCAGAAATCATAAATGTTTGGTACGCATGGAAATGTCTTTCGGTCCTTAGTGTATCAAAATTGTCCAAGTTTGTGAAAAAGCGAAACTAAATAAGAGACCGCCCAAAGAAAAGGGCACGGAATCGTGGTCAAAGTGACGTTTTGCAACTCCATTTGAGAAGGCACAGAAATCAAAACCCTTAGAGACATGAGGTTTTTAAAATCGTTATTATTGGATACATATGCATGTGCATACTTTGTATTTTCTAATGTCCAATCGCATCACAGCAATTAAGATATTTTTGCTTTATTTCTATAATGTTTATGATAAATTAAAAAAAAATGATTCCTTTTATTAGTGAAACCACTTCAATCAAAATTGGTGACGTTAAGTGCATCTTTTTTGACATCGGAGATTGCTCCGGGTGTTAAGAAACAGTAATACTGAAATTGTAATTACTCGAATTGGCTTTAAGCAATCATGTTAAAAGTTAGTAATTTACCAACCAATAACACACTTCATCCACCCAGAAAATTTTAGAGAGATACGTTTAATTTTGTTAAAGATATGAGCTCTGTCTATGGAATTTTGGGACAACCCTCGTATATGTCTCTTTTTATTCACTCATTATTTACAAATCTACTTGACTATTAAGATCTTTGAAAGTACTTTTTACACTATCTATAAAAACAAATTAGCTTAATTTTTATTCAATTTACCTCCGTCGGTAGAGCGCTCGCTCCGTGATCGGGAGGTCGTGAGTTCGAAACTCGGCCGCGACTGACCTAAGTCGATAAAAAATGAGTAGCAACTGTTCCTTCGCCATGCGCTCGGCACTTTGAAGTGAAAGTAAAAACCGAGGCCCCGTTGGCACGATAAAGATCCCTCACTGCTCAATCACCCTGAGTGCCATGTACAGTTCAAAATTTGAAGCTCTTCACCGGTATATGGTGACGTCTCTATATGAGTGAAATATTCCCGAATGGGACGTAAAACAAAATACAATCAATCAATCAATCAATTTACCTAGGCTATCAATTACATCATTTATATTGGTTCAATGCTATTAAGTGAAAAATAAAGGGAATTACTTCTCGAATAGTAGAGGAATATATGCCCTAGCCTCACACTAACTCCAGAACACCTGTATCACAGGCGATGAATTTCGCAATTTAAAAAAAAATATTTTTCATTATAAACGTCCACACAGTTATTCAAGAGCAGAGAAAATGATTTTTCAAAGAATTTTTTTACTATAAAATCAAAGGAACCCTGTCCTAACTCAAAAATCCCTGACCCAGGAGCATTGAATTTCAAATTTTTCTAAGAATCACTTGCTAATCATACACTGTAATCATGCATTTAGTCTGTATTCTAAGTACCTAAGAGCATAGAAGAGTGAGAGCATTTCAATATTATGACCGATAGTGTCCTGCCCTTACACCAGAACCCCTTACACAGGGGCCACGAATTTCCCAATTGTGGACTAGGCACCCGTGATCATTATAAGCATGAGCTTAGTTTTTCTGCTAAATAACCAGAAGCAGAGAGGAAGATTTTCAAAGAATGAAAGCATTTTCACAATATGATCAATAGAGCCTCGCCTTGACTCCAGAATCCTTCAGCCAGGAGCCAATGCTTATTAGAATCATGCCAACAGTTTGTTTCATGCCCAGGAGTAAAGAAACATTACATTAATTTTAAACGTTTTTATACCCAGCCCTCAGGGACCATGAAATTTGTCATTTTTATTCCCCTTTAACAATAGATTCTATGTGCCGAAATTGGTTGAAATCGGTTCAGCGGTTCCAGAGAAGAATCTAAAAAAGTTCAATGCTAATGCTCGACAAAGACAAAAACAGATAGTAATGAATGACCTAAAAAAAAGAAATGAGTCCAACGGGTCAGGCGTTTTAGGAAAGTTTGTTAAAGAAAAAATGCTTTGCATGGAAGCATTTCATATTACATGTCCTTATGGTGGTATATTTAGGATATGCAAATATTTTCCATCTTATGTTGGAAAATATTATGTAGTTCGAAAGAGATAATAGAGAAGTCTAGCAAACTCAAGTGTACACGTACATGTGCGTGTAAATTACAAGTCAGAACTTGAATCTTAGCAACCCGAAGATGTATTAATATGACTGTATTCGTATGACTAATCATGGCTTTGCTGTTCTTGAGATTTCAAATGATTTTTTCCTATATACTTTTATGTATAACTTTGATCCCCTGTTGTGGCCCCTCAACAAACCCTGAGGGCCATGATTGAATAATATAGAATCTACACTACTTTATGTGAGGGTGCGTCAATATTTAAAATATATGTATAACTGGTCTTGACTTTGCCGTTCTTGATAACATATTTCAAAAAAAAAAATTCTATATATTCCAATGTATAACTTTAATCCCCAGTTGTGTCCCGCCCTACCACCGGGGGTCATGATTTGAAAAACAAATAATCTACACTATCTTAATTAATAATGATACTAATAATAATAAATAATAATGTTATGGATTTGCTGTTCTTGAAGAGAAGATTTTAAAATTTATTTCCTATTTATTCCCATGAATAACTTTGACCCCCTTTTGTGGTCCCATGCTACTCACAGGGGTCATGATTTGAACAAATTTCAATTTACATTACTCGAGGATGCTTCTCTATTTATATAACTATAAGTATGGTTTTGCTGTTCTTGAGAATAAGATTATTACAGATATTTCCTATATATTCTTACATAAAACTTTGATCACCCATTGTGGTCCTACCCTACACATGGAGGTCATAATCTGAACAAACTTGAATCTAAACAACCTGAGGATGCTTTCATATAAATATGATCAATCATGGCTTTGCTGGTCTTGAGAGGTTTTTTCTTTTCTAGTCCAGTGGTTCTGAGAAGAAGATTTCTTTTAAATATCATTATTTTTTCGTTAATTCGTTATTATTTCCCCTTTAAAAAAGGCGTGGCCCTTCATTTGAACAAAATTGAATCCACTTTACCCAAGGATGCTTTGTGTCAAGTTCGGTTGAAGTTCTGGGGGAGTTGAAAATGTAAAAAGTTTACAGACAGACGGATGGAGATACGGACAAAAGACAAAATGTGATCAGAAAAGCTCACTTCAGCCTTCGGATCAGGTGAGCTAAAAAATGAACTATATGTACACGTTTTATTTGTTAGAGTTTTCTATAATACGTATATAACTTTAGACGTCTTCCTCTTTTATCAGATATCATAATTTCATATATCAAATAATTTGGTTGACATAACACCATATGCAGGTGATGTTGGAGTATAACTACATAAATAAGAAAAGTAGACGATGGGAAGGCAGAAGTCATCCCGTTTGTCATACAGCTTAGTTACTGGTTGACCTTAATCGTTTATACTCAATAAAACATCCAAATATGAAACAAATGTGGCAGACTCTGTAGTGTCTCTTATTTCGAGTTCACTGGAATGTATCGAGTCCACAAATGAATGAAAGTAACTATTGTTAATTGATAAAACTTTGTCGATATATCTTAATGTCGACTTGAAGGCCACAGCAAGACTATATTCTAATCATTTTGTCTCTGTACCAATTAAAAAACTTACGCCATTTTGGATAGGTTTTTTTTTCTATTGTCTCATTTTAAATTAGCTAAATAAAAATCAATTAATGCACCTAATCATGTTTATTGTAAATTTATTGTAGTACAAGTAAAAGGACGGGTAAATGAAGGAGCAAGGCCTTCTATGGGGGATGTCTGATTCTACAGCAAGTAGAGTATGTCTTCCTGCAGGTAAGTGAATCTTCCCCGGAGGTTCACCTACTTTGTTAGACTTTGTTAGAAGTTAGACTACCCCCAGGCGGAACTATCACTGTAGAGCCAGACCGGCAGGGGAAGTTTCTCTCCAGATCATGTTTTTCGGGGGAAAGTCTGACTAACGGGGAAAACTCACTCTACAGCAAGGGTGGGCAGGGGATGTTTATTTCTCATAGGCACCTGATCCCACCCCTGGAGTTCCATGGTGTTTTATGTCCTGTTCACACATTTGTTTTGTTTGATTTTTTTAAATCAATAACTGTTCGTTATTTTTTACTTTTTTCATTAAGCCAGTCTTTCAATAAACCCTCTTCACATAGAGGTGGCGATCCTCAAGCGTTCAAAACAGTTTGCGTTTTTGTAAAACAGAAAAAGACCAATGGGCGTTCTTTTTGAGAGACTGACTAACCATAAATCCATCTTACACAGAGATGGCGACTAGCTGTTGAAAGACTGCTGTGCAATTCAAAATTTGCTAGATCTCTCAAATATTTTGAAACGGTCGTCTAGCCAATGCTTTGATTTCTCACTAATTTCAAAAGGGAATTCATAGTCTCCATGGGTTCTGAAAGCCAAAACTCTACCCAAAACATCCTATTAACGATCGCAAAGGTAAAAGGTCTATCAAAGAATGCCTAAAAAGATTGTTCAAAGATCCTTTGGAACTGCTAATGATCTCTTAGTGATCAACGTGTTTTGAACGCCTATGATCTCTCATTGGTCTTTTTTCTGTTTTACAGAAGTACATCGTCTATACTCTTGGTTGTACTTCATCTTTTAGTGTATGCTAGATCGCTGGTGATCTCAACAATTCGCCATGAAACGTGCAGATATCCAAATTTTTCATCGCACAACAAGCGCTTTATGATCTTCCAGTAACAATTACATCGACTTCCCCTGGCTTTAAGAAATCGCAAAGAGACAATCTTTATGTTGCTCAAAGATCTCTGAATAGCCTACATGTGTACAAAGAAAAAATTAAAAAATCATTTCCTGATGCGGAACATCATACAGATGTATCTCATTATCGAAATCTGTCAAGCATTTGTTTGAAAAACGTGTGTAACTGACGTCCTTGTATGAGGACCCACAGAATGAAGATGTAAGTATTAAATACGTAATGTATTTTTCACCTATGCTTACTAGATACTGACAATGAAAAGTCGCTTTTTTTCATTTCGATCCAATTCAACTTAAATTAAAAACTAGTTTTTTTAATTTTAATTTTAAAGTCTGTGTCTTCTTTATTACAACATCTGTTTTTATTGGTTATAGACGATAATGTCCAACTAACAACAAACCTGTAGGACAACTCCGCTTGTCTATCATCAACGTTCCTTATTCATGTATTAATATTCCTCTTTCAACTGCTTCATTTTTTTCTAAATTGATGGGATGACTTAAAGTCATATATGGCGTATTTTTGATAAGTTTTGACTAAGTCATATTAAGAAGATCTTTCTATTTGTTTTATTACTTTATATAAAGATAGGACTTTCCTGTAAATAACAAAATTTAAATCAATCACGTTTCATAGATATTAGACATTTAAAACAATAACCGATTTATTTACCGACTCCGCATTTAAATATCAGACACAGTTTGAAGTCAATTTATCTGTAGAAAAGTTCAAAAACGGAGAAAATTTTAATTTGAACGTATATAACAAATAGCATGTTCATTTACACTCAATCTTATTTTATTTTTTAGCTCAGATTCACCATATATAGCTTTTAAAATGGTCGAAACCTACTATTGATCAATTTTTCTCATAGTTTGTTATTAGAATTTTAAGTGTTCTAAACTAAGGCTTATTGACTAATTCTATAAATTCTCACCTGGAACAATGTTTGCATTCTGTGAATTTAGTATATATATGCCTGACTCGCGCTTCTTCAGAATGGTCAAGTCCTGTCGAACTGCCTCGTCGTTATAGACTTTGTAAGTAAGTTTGAAGATATACTGGACGATATCTCCATTAGGCATATCAGTGTCAGTGATATTTACTGTTATATTACGTTGTCCAGCTGTGGCACCAACATATAGTGGTGAATTCGGTACTAGAAAAAATGAACCGATATAAATGTTGGCTTCATACATAATGTCCTACTGTAATTTGAAAACTTTACTAATCAGTTTATTCAAACAAGGAATTTTATGCAAAAATTATATAGAGCACAAATGTAAAGTTATTTATGATAATAATATATCAATCTTGTTCAATCATATATACTACAATTACAAATAAGAAAAATCTGAAAACAAGCAGCAACTACGGCATAATAGGAATAGTCAAAACAATTCATAAGATCACGTAACGTAGCAGTAAATGACGAAATGATATAACACAAATCACTCTAAGGTATTTGACCATTTGCCATATGATTAATACTCGATTACTGAGAGGAATTTGTGTAATCGATTATTAATCGATTACATTCATTTTTGTCTTGTAATCGATTGTAATTGATTACTTTGGAAGATGTAATCGATTAATAATCGATTACTTCCAAGTTTTTATCCCCTCAAATTAAATTATTTAAAGTTATATGGTAATGTTGATGATATCCACTAAGTTTGAATGTGTTTCTGCAGATTCAGTGCAGATTCCTCTAAGGTTTTATTCTGGTTTCATTTCATATTTTAGACCTAACGTTTTCACTAAATGCACAAATGAGGGATTCTCTAGCATGGACAGTGGAGACATGGTTCCTGCTATAAAGCATGAGAGGAATAAATTATTACTTTCGACACTGGATCTGTACCTCCATATTTATTGACTTTGGTTGTAGAAATGATTTAATATTTTATTGTGTTTTGGAGGATTTGGACTGCCTGCATGATGGCAGTAGACAGGGATGGGGTAATCGTAATCGAGTAATCGTAATCGATTGTAATGATTACTTTTTTTCAAGTAATCGACAGTAATCTGTAATCGAAGAGATTTTCGATTACTTGTAATCGTAATTTAATCGATTACAGCTAAAATTTTCAATGTAATTATAATTACTTTTTCGATTACTTTCGATTATTTTATACATAAATGGATGTTATTTTGGAGAATTATTTGCAGTCAGTCACACATAAATATCAAATATAAACCACCTAGTGTAATGTTTGGATTTCCTAACTTTTATTATCATAAGTTTAATAATATTCTCAATAAATTTGCATTATTGGTCTAGTATTAGATAATTCAGAGGTGTATTTCAACCATTTAATATTAATAAAATATACAGATTTTTCGTGTGCATTTTACATTTGACCCACTGTCCTCTTGCTGCATGTCCTTTTTCATATTTCAGATGTTGAAAAACTTTGTCTTGTAATAGAAAATCATAAATGGCAAAAACAGATTTAAGTGCTGTATCTAATATAAATAATTTGGTAAATAAACTTCATTGTACTCGAAAAAAAAGAAGAAGATGGAAATACTTATTCATATCTGAAAATGTGTAAACAACTTCAAACTTGTGTTTTAGTAACTTTAAAATTTGCAAAATCTGATTCTCATGTTTCCATTCAAAATTGTAAGGTTACTTTTATATCAGTGAGAGGTTATACGTGTCTGTAAGAGAGGGAGAGTGTCACTGTGTTTGCTTATCTTAATTGGCTAATTGATTGACTGAGACATCCCTGATTTGCAGATAATGAGGTGTAAACTGTGAACTACCTAGTGTTTAACTTTCATTCCATTGAAGACAGACAATATTATTAAAACAATTAATAGCTCTCAAAACACTTATTTCAATACAGAATGAAATTGTGCTATTAGTTTAATTACTTAAAAATACATTTAATGTACATGTTTATCACTAAGAGTTCTAATTTACTTATTATTTTTGAAAAAAGACACGTACAGGAATGTTTAATGTGTACTGTCAACATACGGGCAGCCCAAATACTTCTAATGAAGTAATTCACAATAAAATATGAAATAATTTTTGCAACAAGTCAATAAATATGGAGGTTCAAATCCAAGGTTAAAAGGAATAATTAATTCCTTGGCATATTTTATTGTAGGAATCATGTCTCCACTTTCCATGGTAGAGAATCCTTCATTTGGGCATTTAATGAGAATGTTAGCCAGAATAAAACTTTAAAAGAATCTGCACTGAAGATGCAGGAACACATTCAAACTTCAGTTGATAACATCAACATTTACCATTAAAATATTGCTTTGATATTTGAAGGGATAAAAACTTTGAAGTAATCGATTATTAATCGATTACATCTTCCAAAGTAATCGATTACAATCGATTACAGGACCAAAATGAGTGTAATAGATTAATAATCGATTACACAAAACTCCTCTAAGTAATCGATTATTAATCGATTACTTTTTTCAGTAATCGTGCCCATCCCTGGCAGTAGACATCAAACATTCCTGTCTTCTCTCGAAAAAATAAGTTTAGAACTCTTATTAATAAACATGTAAATTAAATGTGCCTTTAAGTAAAACTAATAGCACAATTGCATTCTATGTTGAAATATTTTAGTGTTTTGAGAGCTATTAATTGTTCTTATAATATTGTTTGTCTTCAATGGAACTATCAATTATAAAAGTTAAACAATAGGTAGGTCAAAGCTCACACCTCATTATCTGCATGTCAAGAATGTCCCAGACAATTAGTCAAGAAAAACAAACACAGTGACTCTTACCCCCTGTCTTTAAAAATACAGACACTTACAACCTTTCACTGACAAAACAAGTAACCTTACAATTTTGAATGAAAACATGAGAATGATTCTAAAATTTTAAAGTTACTTAAAGCACAACAAAACAGATATGAATATTAATTATTTTCATCCTCTTTTTTCCAAATACAATGTAGTTTTTTTTTTACCATATTATTTATATCTAATACAGCACTTTAAATCTGTTTTTGCTATTTAATATATTTTTATGACAAGACAAAGTTTTTTAACATCTGAAATACGAAAAAGGACATACACCAAGAGGACAGTGAGTCAAATGTAAAATGCACACACAAAAATATGTATATTTTATTAATAAATGGTTGAAATATACTTCTGAATTATTTAATACTAGACCAGTAGGCCTGTAATGGAAATTTTATTGTGAACATTATCAAACTTTTGATCATCATAATAAAAGTTTGGAAATCAACACATATCACTGGGTGACTTTTTTTAAATATATCTAACAGTGACTGACTGTTAATAATTCTCCAAAATAACATTCATTTATGTATAAAGTAATCGAAAGTAATTGAAAAAGTAACTATAATTACATTGAAAATTTTAGCTGTACTCGATTAAATTACGATTACAAGTAATCGAAAATCTCTTCGATTACAGATTACAGTCGATTACTTGGAAAAAAGTTATCATTACAATCGATTACGATTACTCGATTACGATTATCCCATGCCTGACCAAATCAACCCTTCCCCTAAATGGTTCGCTAAAAGAAAATATAGTTTCATAAGTCAGCAGATAGTCCTCTCCGAACACTTTGCTAATTGTTAAGCCTGTGGGAAAGTTAACTGTAAATTATGAAAAACGTTCTTTTATCCTCATTGTAAACAGTAAAACTTTTGATTTATTCAAATGCGTCACAGTAGAAAGATTAAGGAGTAAATATTGTTCTTGATATGACATTGGAATAATATTGGTATTTTATGCACTACAATCTCATTTTCGTAGAGTGAAAAAGATTTACCTGTAGAATTTGTTCGAAAAGTTTTAATCAAAACTGAACTGTTCCTTTCAAATGGACCAAAAGTTTCTTGAAGAATTTTAAAGTGGTAGTTGGTACCAGGCTTTAAATCAGTGAATGTTGTATTTTTTTCCATTGTGGAGATAACAATAGGAGTTTCAGGGCCCATGAGATATATATAAAACACTCTGAAATCGATATTTCTTGGACTCCACCTAATCGTCACATTCGGTGCGCTGTATGGCGAATCATCAATAATGTCTGGTTGCATAGGAACTGTAAAAAGTGTAATTTTCATGTGCATTGCAAATGTTAATTGTTGTATACAAGTTTTTAAAATTAAAAGACATCAAAGAAATATATCTAAAATTGATTCACTTTTGCATTAATTTACGGTTACCTTACCTGTTCTAACATATTCTACTTTTGAAATTACAGACTCCATTCTCATGTCTCTCCCTGTTACATTTGATGTGATTTGAATAGAATGCACCTCTCCATCTGTCAATTTCCCGATTAAGTGAGGAGTACTTATGTTACTGACCATTGTATCGTTAAATGTAATGGTAAAATACACTTCAACACCCGGAATGCTTTTCGTATTCCATGATATTAATATTGACGTTTCTGTAACATTCTCAACACTTATGTTGGCCTTAAAATCATTTACTGAAAAGAAAATGATCTTAATCAGTGTTTTTACTTGTCATATAGAACACAATTGAGCTTTAAAAAATGGATTAAATGGATTAGGGAAAACACAATATAAATATAGCAGTATTTTTCAGTTATCAGCGTTGGAAATGGACGAGGTTCCACATTAAGGCTCAATCACAATTTACCGGATAGCGCTAACGGACATCAAACGGATGGCAAATTTTTCAATCCGTTCGTCCGTTCGAGTACGTTTCTTGCCCGTTTCTTATTTAGTGAATAGTTCCACGTCATGACATGTCCGGTGAAGTTCGATTTATCTAGCGTTAAGTTTTGAGCATGTTCAAAACTTGGAACGAACAACACGTCCGCTTAAAGTACGGTAGGTCTTTTTTTACGGAACTCATGCGCTTCTTCTCCTGTACGTTGATGCCCGTTGTACAAGAGTAAAAACAGGGCAATTACTGGTCGAGGAAAATGGCCACACACGACCGTTAGTCTTCCGTTCGAAAACCGTTTTGTCAGTTTCGCATTCGTTCCTTCGTTATTGAAACGATGAATTCCGTTAGTTGATCGTTTCTTATATGGTATATTACTGATAGCCGTTCAGTTTTTATCCGTTTTATACGCTTCATGCATTGATTGCAATAGCATCGAAAAGTGGCGAGGGACGACTTTCATCAACGTATCAATAGCAAATTGCGCTTAGCCAGCCTTTTTCATCCGTTTGACGTCCGTTAGGGCTATTTGGTAAGAAGTGACTGAGCCCTTCTCATGGAATTTCATCTCCATTGAAAAAAGAGTACCAGTTACTTTCTCCAGATTTCCATCTCAGGACGTTTGACATGCATTTTGATTTTAAACAAACATGTATCATACTTATAATTGGTTAAGATCTCTTTTATTTATAAAAAAAAATATTGAAGTTTAACAAATGTTTTGCAAACCTGACTGGCATAATTTTTCTCCAACAAGAACAAAACTTGAATTGCATTGGCAAACCCCATCGGATGTATTGCACACAGAATTCGGGAATGTACAGTTAGCGTTACTGGAGCAATTAGTTAGAACAATTGGCAGAAGTGGAGTGGTAGAAACATACATCGTTGTCGTTTCCATCATCGTTGTCATGGTAGTTTCCATGGTAGTTATTTTCATTGTGGTGGGTGATACAGTAGTGATATTCGTTGAATTTGTTTGTGTTGTTGTCATAGAAACGTCTGTTGTTTGTTCGTCACTCTCTGATTCAGTTGTCATAGGAACTGTGGAGTTTGACATATGGGTAGGAACTGTGGAGTTTGACATAGCGGTTGTAATAGAAACTGTGGAGTTTTTACCTGTAATGATTATTCAATTAAAAAGTAATTCCTTCTCAAATCAATAGGCATAGCATAATATTTGTGTCTAACACGATCTTGATTAAAATCTACCATAACTTAACAAAAAGCTGAAGTGTGGTATAAACCAGTTATTTAATAATTTTTTTATATTTAAACATTATGAATTTAATTTCAATATTAGGATGTTATAAAGAATAATAAAATTAGAAATCTAAGTAAAATAACTAAGAAATTACCTTCTGTTGTTTCGCTGTAACCACACGGGAGGCACTAAAATTAAGAAGTTATAATAAAATGATGCTGCATAAAAACAAATAATATTTGTCCGCCATCACCTATATGATTTTGCTTGTTCATCACTGGAAAGTGCAATATGTGCAAATGAAGTTATATTAATATTAAATAACTAGTATGCAATGGAATGTTTCATAGGTAGGGGAAATAAAGCATATTATTATATAGTCTATAAATAGTCCCTACATAATCTATACAAACGCAAACACTTCATAATACTACATATTCACTGGATTTGAAGCCGTATTTACCGGAGGGTCAGTGCGCGTGCAGCGGCATTGTGACGTCACAATCAATACCTAAAACAAAGTTGAAAACAATGGTTGCAACGGCCGGAGCCAGCTGTATATGCTGTATATCTAAGCAGGAAAACTTCTAGGCAAATTTCTCGTAGGATTATTTTCCAAACATTTCGTTGTCTTACACACAGCAAAAGGAAAACACGGAAGTTATAATCTGGACATTTTTTTTTTTCCTACGACAGAAGTTCGTTAATGAAAATAGAGTCGTCATGCAGCCTTCAATGTCTTATTTATTCAAATCCTGACTATATAATAAAACAATTAAGGACTCCATAATTGTACAGTATATAACGTTTTCATCATGAATGCCTTTCATGAACAATTTTTTTTTCTTTAACTGCCTTGGAAAAAAATTTGAAAAAGGTTGACAATTGCTCTTTGAAACAAATAGTTATATTAAGTATTTATTCTTAAAATAAAAATGCTTGCAATGTTGAGCTGATGTTTTGGTATGTGAGTCAGTCCTGATGAGTTAAGTATTGCTCAAGTTTACACTTCAATGATATTGATGGACTCAGTATTCCTTATACAATACTCACATATACTTATGTATAAGTATATTGGTATAAGGGTATTGTGTTTAGTTCAATAATTCTTGCAGTTAAACGTTTCCTAGTTTTTCAAGGCAGAATAACGCTATGTATCAAAATACGAAAGGTGTCACAGGTCGACAGGGGAGGCTAAGTCCATGTTGGCTCTGCTCATAATTTGTATTGTTTAGATGGACTTTTGAGCTTGATCACTGTTCGTTATCTTCACCATTCATGTATCAAAATACGGAATGAATACATGTAAACCATAAATGAGGCAGGAAAAAAGAATTTAAAAACAGAGTAAACGTGAATTTTGTTTAGAAAATGATTTTTCGAAATCCAAGCCCCATTTATCTATAATAATATACACTTATCCACTGGCTGTGAGTGGGATAGCTCTTTTATCAAACCCGCGACAGGAACTATTCCCCGAGGGCTTGCCCGAGGGGAATAGTTCCTGTCAAGGGTTTGATGAAAGAGCTATCCCAGTCAAAGCCAGTGGATAAGCGTTTTATTATACTGATGTATATCATAATTTCTGAGGGTTGGGTTTACCTGATACTACAGTTCGATAGTAAAAACATGACGTCACAATGATACTGAAGTCAGGATGACATCATAAGTCTATAGATTGATTACAGGAAATCAAAATTGGCGGCAAAAATTGCATGAAAATTTTCCGAGGGGTGGATAGCAAAAACTATACCCCGGGGTATAGCTTTGCTATGTGTGGAAATTTTGAGACTATAAAGATAGTTATTTTACCTTCTTAACTTTATATAGGAAACATTTTAACAGAAGTATAATAAACACTTTTGTGTCACGGAAAACAGAAATTGTTTTGTATTTAACATGGAACATTGACGAAGGAAGCAATAAATATACATAACTTGAGAGGAAGATGTAAGATACGTCAGCCTCAGCACAGTCTATATTACAAATTAGTATCATCCTGCTTAATCATTGATGGCCTACACAGTATGATTCACCCTCCTATCAAATCAGAGATTTCTTTTAGCTTTTTTTCAGCAATTTAAGCTATTTATACTGCGAACTTGAACAATATACCTTATAGATAGGATTTTTCTTTCTTTCAAAGATATTTCGTATGTACTTCAGTTTTAAGTTATGTAGACGTCTAAATAAGGAAACTTCTCTTGCACTTATTTGAAAGTACAAATTTTAGATAAGAATTTGCTGTGTATTTAATTTGATCATAAAGATGTCAGGGTTTTTCGTGGTAGAAATTTCTTAATCTTCTCCTTGTTTGTTTCTTATTTCCCTGAATGGTTACACTAAGTAACGGAAACCCCATTAAACATACATATAGATATGTCGTGTCTGTATCACCGTGATTCAAGTGCATCTTATAATCCTTGATGAATGACTAACCCCTAACTATCACTATTAATTTGCTTGATGAGTTTACATGAAGCACATTTAGAGCCTCTTAAAAGTGATTAAAGAAGTTTTCATTTCAAACACTTTTATTTTCCACGATAGTGAAAGGTGTGGTGAATCATTAGTGAAGTATAAGTGCTTCTGCAATATTTCTTCTTTTGGCGTATGCTCTTTCCAACATGCTTAATTCAAATTTTCTGTCGACTTTCATGTATAATAATTAGATACATGTATATTACGAACACGATGGTATATAACAACTTCTATTGCACTTTTATGGTAGACCATTGCTTTGTAAATGTAAATTAAAGATGTTTCAGGATCCTGTAATAATGTCATCGCTCGCGTGGAGTTGATCCTTATGTTGCAGGTTCCAATCCCACTGCGGGACGTGGAGACCGGTCCTTCGGATGAGACCGTATAAACCGAGGTCCTGTGTCGCAGAAAGTGCTGGAACGAAAAATTCCCTTACTGCTCAATGGCCCTAAGTGCCGAGTATAGCTCTAAAATTTGCAGCCCTCCACTGGCAATGGTGGTGTCCCAAAATGAGTGAAAAATTCTCGAAAGGGAGGTTAAACAAACAAACAGTAATTAGGTCAAATTATATTGCTCATGTGTGTTCACCTATATGGTAGCATTATAAAGGGTCTTCTTACTGGCATTAACCTGGGGATTTACCAGGTAAATAAAGTACAAAAAAAACAAAAAAAAAGATTACTAGTTTCGTTAGCTTTCGTGACAAATGTTGTAGTCAGTCTTTGAAATAAGAAAGAAGGACAGGAAAATTAGAATTAGTCTTGTGTCAAAATAGGTTTCTTTTCTCCTGTTGTGTTAAAAATAGGTATCAGAAATAGATAACTGCAAAGTGATAAAAGTAGGGTATTTTCGTAACTATGATCATAACAAACCTCTCAGTAACTAAAACAAAAACTTCTATATTGGGAATACTAGTATTATATTTGCATAGTAGCTTAATAATTATATTTTGAATTGTTGCTTATCCTTGTTGACCCAATTTGACATAGTTTTGCAAGTATCATATTTTCAAAGAAATGGAATTCAGCAACCTTAGAAATAAATATGTTAGCTTAAGACTAAATAGATTACAGATCAATAATTTGATTTTTACTTTTCTTCCCAAAACGTTCTTTCATCTACTTTTCAATGACATACTGTAACCTTCAATAAGATGAAGTATATGGAGATAACGAACAGTATTCCAGCTCAAAAGTCCATTCAAACAATACGAATCAAGAGCAGAGCAAACACGGACCTCTAAAACATCAGAGGTGGGATCAGGTGCCAAGGAGGAGTGAACATCCCCTGCCAACCGGTCAGTTAGATGGCATTACCTTTGATTGCGTGCCTCAAAAGCGTTATAAGAATAACAACGTAAAGAAAACGACCACACAATAAGGATCGAGAATAAGAGAGTGATTTTACTGTTACAACATAAGTCAAACGTTTAAATTTCAAATATGGAGCATTTAGAGTAAGTTTATTCTTACAATATACAGCAAACATTCATACTGGAGGGAGAGAGCATGGGCTCTAGAACAGTTATTTTACTGAAATCAAATTTTCATATTGGAAGGAGCAAGCATGTCTGTAGGAGAGAGATTTTATTGTTACAACGTAAATTAAACATTCACATTGGAAGTATCGAGCATGGGTTATAAGAGAGTGATTTTACTGTTACAATATAAATCAATTGTTCACATTGGAAGTATCGAGCATGGGATATTATTATAGGAGAGTAATTTTACTGTTACAACATAAATCAAACGTTCACATTGGAAGTATGAGCTATATGAGAGTGATTTTACTGTTACAACATACATTGGATGGATCAACATGGGCTAAAGAAGATTAATTTTACTGTTACAACATAAAGCAAACGTTCACATTGGAAATATCGAACATGGGCTATAGGAGAGTGGTTGTGCTGTTACAACATGTTGTATGTGTATTTAAAAAAGTAGGCTTCATATTTTAGCGGCTTTGGCGTTTACAACGATGCGCTAATTCATGAATACCGCTAAAAAATCATTTACTAATACAATACACGGCACGGACATGTGTAGCGCTAATTCATGATTACGCAAACAACCCCATACCCCTTGACTGCGCTAAATTTTGAATGCGCCAATTTATGTACACGTACAGTACATTGGAAGGATCAACATTGGCTATAGGAGGGTAATTTTACTGTTACAACAAAAATCAAACTTTCACATTGGAAGTATCGAGAATGGGCTATAGGAGAGTAATTTTACTGTTACAACATAAATCAAAAGTTCACATTGGAAGTATCGAGCACTGGCTATAGTAAAGTGATTTTTATTGTTACAAAATACATTGGAAGGATTATCATAGGCTATAGAAGAGTAATTTTGCTGTTACAACATAAATCAAACGTTCACATTGGAAGTATCGAGCACTGGCTATAGTAAAGTGATGTTTATTGTTACAAAATACATTGGAAGGATTATCATGGGCTATAGGAGAGTAATTTTGCTGTTACAACATAAATCAAACGTTCACATTGGAAGTATCGAACATGGGCTATACGAGAGTGATTTTACTGTTACAACATACATTGGAAGGATCAACATGGGCTCCACGAGAGTGATTTTACTGTTACACCATACATTGGAGGCTGTAGGAGAGTTATTTTGTCTGTTACAATATAAAGCAAACGTTCACATTGGAAGTATCGAGCATGGGCTATACGAGAGTGATTTTACTGTTACAACATATATCAAATGTTACATTGGAAGTATTGAGCATGGGCTATAGAAGAGAAATTGTATAGTATGAGTAATTTTATTCATCCATCTTAAAATACCGGTATAATGACTTTTTAAATGTAAGACTTTTCCTTCAGTTTAAATAATAGAAATATGTCCACAGCACTCTTAAAAATCTTGCAGACAATAGACAGAAGGACCACCTTCGAACTTCATTGAAAAGGGGCGACCTAAATGAGGAAATGTATTCTTTTCAAAAAAATACATCATTTTCTCAGACAAAATTCAATACAGATTCTCACAAAGCTTAACACTATTACATTCAATGAAAAGTGAAGTTAACGAACAATGATCAATCTCCAAAACCCTATACAAACACAAGACAGTCATGAATAGGGTAAAACATGAAGCCCAGAAAAGTAGGAATATCCTGTATATATAATCCCTGGATTGACAACGTTTTTAGGCTTATATTACACAAACTATTTTTCTTTTTTTAACATACTTATGCTCTCAATTTGTTTTTATATACAAGTAATAAATGTTCCTGATCAGAAGTAGCTGATATCAGTCAAGATCTAGGTTTTTTCTCATTAAGGAAGAAAGCCTATATCAACATGTTTCTATGCTTCTCTAAATCAAATGACATTTGCATCTACTTAAAGAGAAAAACAATTATTTTTTTTTACATAAAGCTTATTCATTCCTTAGGAAGTATGGGTATTGAAACGTGTTAAAAAGATGTAACTAGATGTATATTCAGAAATTTCATGCAGAAAGTTTTATTATCTACTCTAAGGAAACTGAGGAAAAAGGAAAATCCTCTGTTAAACTATATATATATATGTAAAGTGAATATTCAATTGCTATGCATTTAAATAAACACGACTGATGAAGGCCGGTAACACGTTTGAAATATTTCAAAAAGTGTTTTAAAGTGTTTTTGTTCTATTACAAAGAAGAGACTTTGGATATATATATATATATATATATATATATATATATATATATATATATATATATATATATATATATATATATATATATATAGGGGAAATTTTACATTCTATGTATGGCATCTTTTAAAAAGAAATGGATTGTTTAGTGTCACTGTATAAAGACATGTATACGTGAAGCAATACATGTTCGTGTCAACATCGTGGGAAAATATCGCTCGGAAAGAGGGGGAGGGAAGGAGTAGTTACAATTGCTAAAAAATCAATTTCGTTGCCTGGTTCTGTATACATTTAAATACGTGAAAATATCATAACACTCGTTTGTTTTATAAAATGATTAAATATGCAGCTTTGTAAAAAATACCGTAGAAGCATCTTTTTTAGAAAAAGAAGAGGAATATTTAAATGAAATATTTTATTTACACAGCTGTAATTGAAAAAAAGAAAATGCTACTTTTAGGACTGTCTAATAAATAGAATGGAAATTTTCAATTGTGATCATGTATTAAATAGCGCATTAAGTTCTTCCTAATTATAAGTGGATATTGTGGCACACTCTGAATCTTTTTCCTCGTTGTGGTATAATAAATATTATCCCTTTCCCTTTTTTACTAGAACAACTAAAAAACAGCTTTAACTTCTAAATATTAGTTCTGCAGCAAATAGGTACAGCTTTCTTGTTAAATATGGTTTTCTTCTTCAAATTGAATATTCACTTTTTAACTTTATACGGTAAATTCCGTGTCGTAAATGACACCTTGTTTTTGATGGAAAGTATGTCAGATGCATGTAATCAAAAAGAATTACATTTCAATAAAAAATTTTAAATAGTATAGTTACAAATGATATAAAGAATATTAATTTCTACAATTGTCGGGAAGAAAAGCTCAACAAGATTGTTTTAAGTACAAGATTAGTCCCCCCCCCCCCCTCCAATCCCGATAATTTTGCAGTTTTGATTTTACCATCTTATGTCCTTTATATGGTATTGGAGGGTTGATTTAAACAATGAATTTAATACAGAACATTAAAATTTTTGCACAGCTAGGCGTTATCAAATATTTGTTCTGCTTGCAAATCTGTTGAAATGTGTAATTTGACAATTTACTTTATATTGCATGATAAGAATGTTGACATTGTCTCCTGACTTCCCATCATTGGTCTTTAAAAGTAAAAGATCGTCTTGATAATCGTTTACATAATATGTTTTTTTCCTTGCGCTTCCTCAACAAACAAAAGGTGTAATGAGAATACTTCCCTGTCGGTATGCATTTATTTCTACCTTCCTTTCTTTTAAAGCCATTTAAATCTGACTGTTCTCAAACAGCTGTTTGTAAAATAGTTGATTAGTTTTCCATGTTTTATATTAAAGTTTAAAAAAGAGGGAAATAAAAATGCTCTTTAGCATTTGGGCACATAATTATTGTGTTTATGCGCTTCAATTGGGGCTTTGCATTGTAATAGATTTTGTGTATGACCTTTCGAAAATAAGGATGCGTCGTAAATTCTCAAAAGCAGTAAATATTACACTTACGAATCTTCAAGTATTTGGAGAGTAAGGCATATAGATTGAAAATTGAGTTTTAGAGGTTTTTTTGCACATATATGTACAATGAAAACAGTATGCTACATTCGTTATTTCCTGGTGACTCAATGTAAAGTGACGAAGTCAAGTTAAAATTACATATTCATTTTCCCTCCTGTTTAGAAAAATGAATGTAAAATGAGCCTTTTCAACTTAGGCTGTGAAATTTGCATTGGTCCATTATCTATTTTTAGTTTTCTTTTTTACCGTACTTGATTTTTTTGTAAACAAATTATGTATGACTCTCAATAAAATGACCGGCTTATCGAAACAGGAAACGCGGGGCGCGTCGTTTAAAAATAATTGAAATTTGGATCCGGACTGCACGGAGCTGCAATGATGGAGAAAAGATTTAAATGTTATACTCACCCCACAAAATATAACCAAAAGTAAAACTTGTCGTAAAGTCCACATTGTTAATGTACTGTTTCACTCCATGTCATGTACAATCATAATCCCCTCTTCTTCATTTTCCTGTTATCCCGGGATTTGACTTCCGCCCTCGCTCACGTGGTTTCATGGAACTTTCATATTCAATAGATATACTTATAACTGAAAATATAGTCTGCTTGTTTGCATTGTGTTAGTAGGACACACTTCAATAATTTATGAGGGGTATAATTTGCAACAGTTCTCTACACCGTGATTTCGGCCATCATATTTCACATCAATTTTTTGATAAGACAGCCGTTAACATTGTATATACTTCACTTGAGGAAACCGGAACATACTTACGGATCACATATACGCGGTATTTGTTGATAAAATACGACTATGAAAGGAACTATTACTTTCCCAGATAAATTGCTTTCTTCAAAGCTGTGAAAAGTTTTTTTTCCTCCAGTTTTTAGAAGGAAAAAGGACTCAAGTACATGTATGTGATTGTTAACGTACAGATGTCATCTCTTTTTAATAAATATTCATCTCTAACGCTGTAGTTACTAACTGACCAAAATAACATACAGTCATTAAGGTTAAGTAATTTATTGAAAGTATACTTTACAGCCATAATAAAGAATTTGGACTACTATTTGGTGGTTTATAAAGCACAGAAAGATTGTCCAGCCAGCAAATTCGCAGTATTGAAATAATTAATACAAATATACCGGGGTATAATAAATATTTGGATAAAAAATCAAAGAAATCAAAAATATAAACATAGAAGAAAGACATATAAATCATGTAAGCAGGAAGAAGTGGGGTTATGAAGGTATAAACCCGATTTTACTGGTATGGTCGTTATTAATCATGAGTATAGCACGAATTCTCGATATGCAAGATATACAATGTATTTATGAACATATATTCAACATATCACTAACAGAAATTGATCTATGAACATTTCACTATTTTATCGGTTTGCTGAATTTAAAGATACCTTTAGAAAATATCTAACAGCACTAAATGAAAAAATAATACATTCCTTGCAAATTGACAATTGAAACTATTTTCTGAATCAGTCACAGAACACGGTTTTATCAACTTGTTGCCAAATATAGAGCCATAACGTAAAGTGTTAATGGGTGAAGGAAGAAAGTTCAAACACCAGTTATGTCACATTTGCTGTTTGTTGCAGCTGTTAACATTTATCATTCATCATTTCAATCATATGAAAAATATAGGAAGATTTATGTGATTTATGCCCTTTGCCACTTTTATTTTTCCAGTAGAATAGATGAATACTTCATATCCATTGTTTCTCTCCCCCCCCCCTCCCCCCCCCCAACAAAAATACCTGCCAAATTTTGTACTAGTGTACTTGAAGGTCACTTTAATACATGTATTTCATTTTTAGAAATATTGTCATGACCACTAATGAAGATGTAATTGTGCTTGATATTGCAAGAAAAGTTTATGAATTCTCTCGCTATAGCCTGATTCAAAATAAGCAAATACACCTGCTTGCAACACTAGGGGTAAGTTGTTACTTGTACGCATACATGTACATTTATGTCATATCAGTGATCTGGATACAAATTAAAACAAAACATAACAAAAGTATTTCGTAAACATAGATAAGGAGAGATCCAGACAGTACCGACAGCACATATTGCTGATATGTGACAAAGTGATCTCCCCTGTTCTTTTTCGCGATTGAATGAAATTCTTGCGCACATTAATGTTGGCGTCTCAGAGTTCATAAAACGTTAAGATAAAATTTACATGAAACTGTCAGTAAAAAGTAGATAAAGGCGTTTATATAGGTGGATAAACTGATAACTGTTGTACAGTATTTTTTTTTAATTTAATTTGAACAGTAACAGGAAACACAAGTAGCATGCAGGTAACAAAGGTGTTGGAGATTGTTCATAGTGTTCACAAGGTATATATATTGAACTAGAACGTTTGCCATTAAAGTGCTAGAGCACTTTAATTTTTTGTGACATATTGGTTAATATTACTTAGTGCATCAAAGTTTTGAGATCAATTGACGCCATACTACCAGTGGACAAGTTCAAGGAAAAGTTATTTGCCCTTGACAGTGGTAAATCATAGCTGAAACAGGATTCTCTTTTTGTTTCTTGTACAATTTTCAATCATCCGGAAAAAGGAGATTTTTTTATTCAAGAGTCAATTTCAACAACTTACGAAAACACATGTTTTTTATTTGATTGCTTTTATATTTAGAATTATTTATATTAATGTATTCACAAACCAGTAAAACAAATTGAATCACCACTTTACATCGAAAAATAGGACTTTTTTCTGCAGATAATTCCTAACGTGTAAATTATTGCAATTGAAATGATTTCCTTGGATGTTGCTATTCATGTGTGTATATAAATTATATTTTCTTCAAATTGCATTATACATGTACTTTGACAGAAGAGGTCCCTCTCTGAACCCACTAAAGATTTTTTTTAAAAATGTTTAAAAATACTATTGTTTCCTAATTAGCTAGACCTGATCAAATCTTTAAGACACGAGAAAGACAGATGAGGCATTTAACTTTAAATACTTTGATAAGAAGACAGATAATTCTGACAGGGTATATTTACTACAAACCAAAATTTCAATGTAACCTCTCATTTAGTGGTGGATTAACTTGAAAAGGTATGAAGACTTCAAGAATTTTGCTTGTTTGTTCTGTTTTTACTAGTTTAACCCCTGGAACTTAATTATTTTTTGTATGCAAATTATGAAAGCAATGGAAAAACTCACAAACAAGTCCTAAAGTTAAATTTTGATAGCTGGGAAAATTCCCCTTTCCCAAGTGAATTAATCGGTGGCCCTGATAGAGTAAACGTCCTCGTAATTTATATCATAAATACCGCTTCTCGAGAAGTTGCGATTGACAGTTACAAAGAAAAATTTGACTCTAACTTCCAAATATGGAAATAACTCCAAGTATGGAAAAAGGGTTGATGGTTAACTGTTATTTACCTCTTTCATCTTTGTAACGTGAAGATCCATTAACGTTTCATCCACTTCGCGAATGATTTATAGAACGATGATATAAATACCATTTAGTCCACGACGACAAAAACTCAAATAAATATGTAAAAGGAAAAAGGGAACAAGAATGAACTATTAATTAGAAGTCGATATACATGTCACTGTACATTGGAAAAGTATGCCTGCATTAAATTTTGCATATATATATATATATATATATATATATATATATATATATATATATATATATATATATATATATATATATATATATTAATTTTTAACAAATAGACAGTATATAAAAAACGGGGAAGAAAATATCAGTGAATACAAGCAAAAGCTAATATTCATGTTTTATTCTGATAGTACAAGAAAGCATTCGAATGCATGTGTATATATCCAAACATTACATAGAATAGTCTTTAGAATTCTGTACTCACAAACTAAACTTTTGGACTGTGTTATTTTACATGTAACGACACATACTTTACATTGTTCTTTATACCTAAGGCCTTATTGAAGGAGAAACAGTTAAGCCTTTTATCCGATCTTTATTAAGTGCTTGAAGCAAAATTGACATAATATTTCAGTCCATTAATTAAGTACTCTCTATACACTAATGTAAAATCTTTCTCAGACATTGAGTAAGTTATCTATTGTATAATGTAGAGATGTTGAGTTTTTCTGCTTTATTTTCAACATAAGGTACGAGTTATAGTGTGTATGCTATAGAGGGCCCTAAACTAGAGATGATAGTTAACAGGTTTTGGCATACATTTTTAGTTATTAATGCAGAAAAAAAATCGTGAGATTTCCTGCATTACATAAATACAGAACGTTTTTATGTCGTAAAGTTCTTGTCAAAGTATATATATATTTTTTTTTTTTAGATATTGATTTTTTTTTCCTCTGTAACATTATTTACTTCATTTTTTTTTTTGTAGACAGTGCCATCATCATCTCTTTAGAAACAATGCCGTCTTGATTTTCGAAAATTAATTCAAATCAGAAATGAAACGACTTCGTCGTCCTCGAGTTTGTTATTTTCGTATTCGATTAACGATCTTCTTCGTTTGCACTTCAAGCATAACAATAGGTATTTTACATTTTAAAGTACCTGATCTTCCGACAAGAGTGGCAAAAACAATCTTTAGAGTTTTTGAAAGATGCCCATTCTTCCCTTCAACATTTGAAGAAAATCTTAATGTGGTTGGAAATTACTCCTTGAACATTTCAGAAACTGTCAAAAGAAGATTGAATCTTGATGAAAATGGAATAAAGTCCAATCTTAATCACACACCAGATACACAGACTGTCCTTACATCTGCTGCAAGCTCCTTTAATTATTTAGAAATTCAAGGCTTTATTAGCAACGTGGAAGCCCATGTGGCTCCACAATTCTCTGACTTGGAATTCATCATATTTGATGTTGGTTTGAAAAAATCAGAGGCTCGCCATATCAAGAAATATTGCAATTGTCGGTTAAAGAAATTTCCATTCAAAGATTTCCCTGATCACCTCGGGATTGTTCGAACAAATACTTGGAAGCCTGTTCTCATTCAGCTCCTGCTCTCGGAATTCCACATCGTTATATGGGCAGACTCTTCAGTACGATTCCTCGGAAAACCTCTTGACAATTTAATACATAGAACAGTGGCCCATGGAATACAAGTAATTGAAGGTGGAGGATCTATAGCATTACGAACAAACACTGTTACTTTCAGAGCACTGGGTGAAAAACCATGCATGTTTTATAGACCCGAATTAGAGAGCCATTTTATTTCAATATTCAGAAATCACTTCACTTTGACTAGCATAATGCTTCCTTGGGTTTCTTGTGCAATACAATATAATTGTATGGATTTTGATTTCGCGCTGAAAAAAATAACGTGTCCTGAGAAGAAAAGTTGGTTATATGGCTCGTGTCACAGATTTGACCAATCAGTGTTGGGGATCATCATAACGAGGCTCTTCTCCAGAGATATGGAAAACATTCTGTTTAAATTGGACGATATTGCTTATATCAAGAGGCTCCACCGTGTGTCCTGAAGTTTCATTAATATCATAAAATTTCTATTTAAAATAAATTTTATAGCAGATTTTCTTACCACTTTTTTTAGAGTATCAGCATATGTCAGTATACTGTAAAAGTATATCATTGAGGGGGTCAGGAAGACTATAATTCCCAATAGCAAGCCTATTTCCAAAGGCAAGGCGCCAAGGGGAACTGGAATCTTGCTGACTCCCTCAATGATAAACTTTAAATGTTTTATTATACCGACACAAAAAAATTATTACAGTTATATCATAAAGTTTTGCAATTCTATTTCATACGCAGTGCTGTTATAAGGTGTCAATGGAAATATCGGTTACCCAGAATGTAGACAAAATAAATGAATAAATTCAATAGAAAGTATTGCATTTGAATTGATGGTCTATAGAATACATGAATCTGCAAGTGATATTCTGTTTATTATGCCCACCTCCTTATAAATGTAACTTTAACTGAGCAGCGTTATGAATATTCATGATTTTATTTGGAGCATATCGAAACTTTTCATTATTTTAATTAATTCCTGAGACCTGTGATTTTATAAAACCAAATACTTTCAGTAATCGAATATTAAATTTTCCTGAGACCTGCCAAAAAATTAATAAACTTTTTTTTTTCAATTTTCTCCTTTTTTGGGTAACCGTGTTTCATAGCGTTTGGATACCGTTACCCAATCGCCATAGTAATTACAAAGATGGTAACAGAACGTAAGAGTTGTGGCGATGGAGCCTTAGGGCCACCCTGTATGTAGACATCCTTTTTCCTACATAACCGGGTATTTATTGATGAGGAAGTCATTTACCACTGAGAAAATTCCTTAATCTAATTATACACTTGGACTAGTGAAAGGTAAGTGCTAAAGTTATTTTCATCTTGGATATTCGATTTCCGTGTAAATACTATTTAAGACTTATAGTTTGAGTAATTGAAATTAGTAATCACAATTAAAATAATTTCAGGTTTGACAAAAATTGTTTGTTCATCATCGTCATCCAAATGTGCATGATTTAAAAATAACAAATGAACTGACGCAAAAGAAGAAATAATAATGTGATTTTAAATTCAGCAATAGATAAGATATAAGAATAAAACAATATCTATTCGTATGATTTCTTTATGTCAGCAAAGAAATTGATTTTATTCATCAAGTATTAAGTGTATCATCAACAGGAGCTGTGTGATTTCTTTGCAAGGGGAGGGGATGGAGGGTTGTCAGAAAAAAATGACGGCTTACTTGAAAAATCTTTGACTAGTGTCATTTCTGACATATTTCATTTTGTCAAATAAAATGAAATATGTCAGAAAGGACACTAGGAAAAAAAGAGGACAATTGAAAAATTCCAAACTCAAATAGTACTATTTTGCTTTTTGGGGGAGGTGGGGGTTAAATTCCAACTTTTTCCACAAGCAAATTTTATTAAATACATTTTCTGGGTCGATTTCACTATACTGGAAGAAAAAGGGGGAGTGCCGCCGGCCTTTCTGTGAACATTTTCAACAGTAAAATATTTTGTTTGGAAAAAGAAATGGGGAAAGCAACCCCCCCCCCCCAAAAAAAAACACGTGCCTAAGTAAAACATTTACTGAGTAAAAAGACCTAGGTAAAACATTCAAACATGCTCCCGCTATAACAATTTAGTATAATCTTGATTTATATAAGTACGAAGATGTTGTTATAAGTTCGTTTCACTTTGTAATCCGATTGTTTTTATTTCCTTTCCAGTTTACATCTGTTGCCAGCCTTCCTGTTTTAAGAGATTTTTTTTATCTTTAACAGAGAGGACAACACTTCAGATATGTCACTAACTTGTCGAAGGAACCAATTTTCGATAATATGTGCAATAATTTTTGTTGTAATGATGATAAATTTTTGTGAATTGGTTTATAAATATGACAGAAGTTTGAATGTGATTAATTCAAATGCACACTTAATGCGCGAAGAAGACATTGCGCATTACGTTGATTTTGGACATATTGACAGGAAAGATTTCGAGAAACGTGGATTAAATGATCAATACAGTGACCGTTTTACAGAGAGCCATAAATATCACAGTCCTTCCCCGAATTACAAAGAAAATAAAATACTCAGGGAAACTTCAGTTGATTCAGACTGGGTGCATCACATGATTCATTTGTTTGAAAATGCTCCCACGGAAAACTTTGAAAAAGACCCCTTTGTCAGACAGAACACCAGTGCTGGCGATTGTGAAGATTTCTATCCATCTTTTAAGGAAAATCTTTACAAAGTGTTAAATTACTCTTTTAATGTACCGAAGAAGTATTTAGAAATGTTAAATTTGGATGATGCTGGAATAAAAAATCTAACAGAAAGCGATTCGAATTCACCCTATCCAGTAATCGCCGCTGCTGCGTCATCTAACCACTTCCATGAAATACAAGGATTGATTCGAGATTACCACAGAAATCTTTTACCTATTTACCCGGATATGAAATTAATATTGTTCGACTTGGGACTGAATGCTAAGCAATTAAAACTGATGAAAAAGCATTGCCGGTGTGAGGTTAGGAAATTTCCATTCCATATTTTCCCGGATCATATTCGAATTTTAAGCGGATATGGTTGGAAGCCGCTTATAATACAACTTCTGTTGCAAGAATTCGATTTCGTCATGTGGACAGATGCCTCAGTTCGATTTAATGGAAGACCCCTTGATAAACTTTTTCAGGGCGCTAAAGAGGTCGGGGTCCAAGCTATACCTGGTTGGGGCTCCATTGCCGTACGAACAAATCAACGCACATTCACAGCTCTTGGGGAGGAAATGTGCTTGTTTGATTATCCAGAGTTTGAAGCAACCTGGATGGCATTTGTGCGGTCCGAATTTACTCTTACTGCGGTTATGAGGCCGTTGGTATCATGTGCTTTACAATACGGATGTATGGATTTTAAAAATTCAAAATCTTTTCTCGGATGTCCCTTGAGGAAAAAGAGATTTGGTGCTTGTCACAGATTTGATCAATCAGTGATTGGAATAATACTTGCTAGACTGTTTAATTATAAATCACACCTTTGCCAATTTATAGTAAATGGTATAGGATCAATTAAAAGGGGAGAATATGTTAATTATTTTCCCAATTCCTAATTATTATATTTTTATTTATTTATTTTTGCGTGGAAGCTGACCGTTTGAATTTATTCATACCATAAAATTCTGAAAGTATACGGCAAAAGTAAAAATAATTCTAAAGGTGAATTTAGTAGGAGATTCCCCAGTGAAAATAACTTCCCTTAGTTACACTATTCTGTATCCTATACTATATAATCCTATAAAGCTATAGCCTCTACCTTGACCTTTCACTCATTCTGATTATATAAGCTGCGATCATTCACTTTCTATGGAATGTACAGTTGTACCTTGTACAGGCACAGTGATCAAAACGGTTCACCAGCCTATCACTTTCAAACAGCAGCCCCTTTCTGTGTAAAGTTTACATTTACCAGTTATTCACATGTACATTTATCTCTTGAGCAGGTACAATAAAGAGCATTGAAGTGGGGAATAAAATCCGTTTGAACGGAACGTTTGAGCTTACTTTGACTGTTCGCTGACGACAATTCATTACAACACTCTGATTAGTACATTATAGATATTGCAATTTTCTTGAATCATGATTTAAAAATACTCAGTGACTGGTCAGATAAATGGTTATTGAAATTTAATCCGTCTAAGATAAAAATGGGTTTTTTTTTCACAAAGAAATATATAGAAGAATATCCTGAATTATATTTCCAAGAAAGTCAACTGGATTATGTTTCGACTCGTCGTCATCTTGTTCTACTATTTTCTGTAGAATTGGGCTTTTCTGAATATATCAGTAATGATGTAAGCAGTGCGTACAAAAAATTAGGTCTCCTAAATAAACTCAAATTCACCCTTGGCAGAAAAAAACTATCTAAAATGTGTATCACATTTATTAGACCAGTTCTTGAATATGCTTCTGTACTGTGGGACGGTTGTACTTTATTTGACATGGATAGGCTAGAAAAAGTTCAGTTAAGTGTCGCACGAATTGTTACAGGTTTACCAACTTTAGCATCAAAAGAATCATTCTACTTAGAGACAGGGTGGGAACCTCGTGTCAATTGTCGTCATACTATGAGGCGCCGTTTTGGTATTTACTGCCAAAAAGTGATATCACCTATTCGAATAAGTGATATCACCTATTCGAATAGGTGATATCACCTATTCGAATAGGTGATATCACTCATTCAAATTGAATAGGTGATATCACCTATTCGAATAGGTGATATCACCTATTCGAATAGGTGATATCACTTATTCGAATAGGTGATATCACTTATTCGAATAGGTGATATCACCTATTCGAAATGAATATGATGTGTATTGGGTTATGCATGTTTATGGTTTACACAAAGCGTATAAGGAAAGTTTAAGCAGTTGTACAAAGCTGAAGGGTTCTCCGACTTACGATGGATAAATTGAGTGTCATAAAAGCTTGGGTGCGAGCAAGTAGGAGGAGAATTTCGATCGAAGTACAGGTAAACAAGTCCGAGAATGTCACCTGCTTCTTGGATATTCTTGGGTGAAATAGAAGTCTTATATTATACATTTGTATCTGATTAGAATAGTTTTGTTATCATCATTCCAACTAATTTATTAACAGATTTTTCTTGAATTCGAGGATAATGATGTTATTACCAGCTGATTAAGGAGGAGTAGTGTAAGTGTCAGATGGGTACGAACGTCATCTTGTGACAGCACCACCTTTGTATGGGTAAATAATTTGTTCAGAATACGCTTCATTTATCAACAAAAATTTAGCTGTTGCATGTCAGTAGGTCTAGTTTTTTTAAGTATTCAATGTTTGAAAGCACTTATCAGGTCCAGTACAATCTTTTGATTTAGCTATATATATAGCTTTATTAAGCTGTTCAGAATAGCTTAATTAATTTAGCTATTTTATCACACTTTTTCTTAAATGTATACTTTTCTCAGCATGCACAAAAAGTCGCACCTTGGTGCAGTGATGATACTCAACCTTGAACTCATCTGAAATTGATGCATTTAAAACTCACTCATTAAAATCTCCTTGCATACATGTGATAATTTTTAGGCCCAAATACTGTACAGCAGTCCTCAAAATACAGGAATTTGGGTGAAAATACTGTACATTGTTCATCAAAAAACTATACAAAAAACAGTAAAAAATATTGACCAAAAATCAATGTAAGAGGTTCATTTTTTAAGCTCTTCTGAGCCAAAGGCCCAAAGAGCTAATGCTGTGGCCATTTGTGCGGTGTGCGTAAACTTTTTAGGATATGGGCCATAACTCAAGAACCCTTTGGCCATTATTGTCAAATTTGTCACAGGGTATCCTTGGGCCAAGGGCTTCTGTTTATACTAAAACTAGGGTTGTGACCCTTAAACAAGGGAAGATAATTAGGAAAATAGAAACAAAAGAGACTTTGTACTCAAAGTTCTAAAAGTTTTTGGGCTACATATGCAATTGATACAGTTACTTCTTCAATGAATTTATAAAGGAGGCCAATTGTGGTCAACAAGATAATTGATTAATTCAGTACATTCAATGAGAAGCAATCATACTTATCCATGCCTCAATGCACACAAGGTAGTGGACAGTTACTCAAATAATAGAAATTAATCTTTTGCTTAAAAGTAATCAAAAGTTGCAAAGTTGGAGCTATCTTTGATTTTGCTTGTTGTTTCGATAGCCCATAGCACATATTATTATATGAATAGTCAAATACATGCAACTTTTTGTCTACTTCTTATCAAAATAATTTTTGTGAAAAAACTGCATATAAATAGCTAAATCAAGCTATTTTGAATAGCTTAATAAAGCTAAATAGCTATTTCAAGCTATATAGCTAAATTAAGAGATTGTACTAGACCTGCTTATTTCCCAATCCCAACGATAAAACTTTCTTTATATATTCTGCAAATTCTCTCTGCATTTATCATTGAACAAAATTCATATGACTGCAATTATATGACCATATTCTTCAGTTTAGAGAGCATGTTATAGAGGATTTTTTGGTTAAAGTTTTGGTCTGTTTCATGCAGTGTTTGAAATATTCTTTCATCTTATACAATTGTATACATTAAGATTTATTTTATAGCTAAAGTACAAGAGAACTGCAGCATCTAAGACTACATGTACATCGACTTTGAATAATCTACCCGGTATATCCTCAAAAAGGCAACTCAAATACAGGTATGAAATTGATGTCACAAAATAAGTTTTTGGACTTACATTTACTCTTATAATTCATATACATATAAAGCATATAAAAAATAAAAATAGAAAAGAATTAAAGGTTCATCAGGTGACAGCTCAATCATGTATGGAATATTATTAGGCCAAATAAAAAAATATGTGTGGTTCCCATTACCTGACCGTCCCTATTTTAGATCCCTGACCCTAAACTTTTTTTCGGCAATATTCATATTTATTTTCCGGAATTTTCCGCGATTTCCGTCATCCACTTCGGTATTAGTTTTAGTTCCAGCAATGGCGGCCTCCATGCAAAAATCGTTTCAACACGTAGTGCAAGTGTTTGATGGTGTTAAATCTAAAGCAAGCTAGCATGGCGTGGCAGTATACCTTTTTCCAGCGCCATGTTTTTTTGTTTGTTTGTTTTTTGGTTGCCAAAATTAAATAAATATGCCCAAGAGTGGCGAGATTCAGTTAGTTGCTCTGTTTACAGCTGGTTTATAACAAGTGCATGCTGATTAGCCCCTTTATTATTTAATGCACGCAAAGGTGTGAAGTCAGGATAGGAAATCACTTCTCGCTTGAAAGCACACAGACAGCTGACCAGGTAACGTTTTTTGGAGTTAGGGGGAAGATAACATGAGAACACATTTATTTGATTGCATTGATTACGCAAGAATTAGCCCAATGTGTAAGATAGATTAACTTGTAAACTATTAAATAATTTATATCAGGATCATTTCTTTTAAACCGAAAGTAGAAAAAAAAACAGTTCATGAGGAAAAGTGAAAAAGAAGACTGCTGATTTTACATGAATAAAGTCAACTTGCAAAACACCAATATATAAGAGAAATGAGCTTGGAAGTATGAAGTCTTCAATGAGGCAAAAAGGTTTCAAGAAAGGATTTAAAATTTTAATAATATTAAATATTTGTAATTCTGACAAATTTGAATGATTCTATGTCATCTTGCTTAGGTGATTTATTTTGTTTTAAACATTACTGTACAAAATGTAGGTGTCACATTCTTTTCCTCTGACAGCTCTTAGCAGAACTCTCATGTCCGTTTTCTAGTTTATAGTTCAGAATTTATTATTAAGTAAAATAAGAACTGTTCTGGATAAAAGTAATTAATTAATTTCATTTATAAACACTGATTTTAAAAAAAGGATGTTCACCTTGGACTTTATTTTTTACAAAAAGAAAAGATTGTGTTTTCATTATTTTTGATTTAAAAATATGTTTCATATTCATAACTAGGGTGCTCCCTGCCAATGTTGACTAGTATATTTAACGCCACATCGAAATGCCACTTATTTTCTCCTTCACTCTGTTCATTCACAAATAAAACATTTCTTTTCTGAACCATAGTTGGAAAAGACTGAATTCAAAATAAACAAAACATTTATTAGTTATGAGTTATATACTCAGCTCTTCACAAAATATTTCTGTTTTTTCGCATTCTATAATCTACAATTTTAGATTTTATATACCTGTATAAAGACTTCCGCAGCAGATTCCAATAGAGAAATCATGATCTATATTTAAGATTTAATGTATAATGCTTAAGATATCCATTAATTTTACTTATAATATACAATTCTGAAATTAATATAATCCTTTAAAAACAAGGATAGCACATATCATCTTCGTAATCACTTAACATTCTTAAAAAAGAAAATATAATATCCAAATAACAGTTAAATAATTCAATTTGCTCATGCTGATTTTCTTCAAACATTGTATTTTCTAGATGAGTATGAACTCGAATGAATAGAATCAGCAAACAACTGTTTAAATACCCAAGACATTTTATTCACACATTTAAGCACATATCTAATACAAATGCTTAAGAGAAAACATATCTAACACTCTACACATAAAAT